AAGCTCGAGCTCTGGGGCAAAAGCTCGAGCACAAGAGGGTTGTGTTCGAGCACTGCACTATTCATCACCAATTTTGCTGCCCAAACTTCAAATTATCATAAATTCCTCATTCTAAACCTAAATTGGGTTGTTCTTGAGTCTAAACTGATCGGCTCGAATTCATCTTTCCAATGATGTTAATCTTATACTCAAATTCCAATCACACCAAGTGCTATAGTTATTTTAGTGAAGTACTATTGAATAATCCTTCAAACCGATAGTAGGTAATTGTGGAAAACTATAGCTATAGCCATTAGAAACCTTGGGAATAAATTTAAATCGTTAATGTGATATAATGACCGAGTTAATTTCCTTCCTTTCCTTTTTTCGGCATTTTTTTTTTTTTTTTTTTGTATAACCTTAGGGTTTTTGAGGCCTGTGATAGGTTTTTGAGTTCGGTTTCGAGTTCGGATGTGATTTTTTACTTCACATGCATCCATTATATTTGGTTTCCACAAAATGTGTAGTTTTACTTTTGTAGAAAAATTTGCTACTTGCTTACTTTTCCCACAAGGGCGTGGATGCATAGTTTCTTCTAAAATATTCTTGTTTTACGTGGTGTTTTTCGTAATTAAAATTTCTTGGGATATTTGTCTTAGGAACCATTTTGTAATTTATTTTGTGAGATATTTTGGGTAGGGACCTTTTTGTAATTTCTGAAAAAGTATGACAAGTGTCACACTCTCATTGATCCACTGGTAGGCATCTTATTGGTGACACTGGGGAGCCTTGGATGATGACATATGGAGGGTGAGGATTCACCCACTTGGTGGCCTAGGATTGGTCCATGTGTTGGCTTAGGATGTGCACAAGTGTAGGGCTTAGATGAAGCCTTGGGAGGAGGCTTTGGATGGTGACAAGTGTTGGCTTTAAATTTAATCTTATGAGGAGGCCTACCTTGGTGACAAGTGGAAGGCCTAGATTAAGTCTTGCCTTTGTGTGTGAGAGAGGTAGTGTTTGAGTATGTGTTTTTGACTATCTTTGACTTATGTGATTGGAGAAATTAGAGATTATTTTTCATCTTCTCTAACTTCTCACCCTTGCCTCCATTGACAACCTTGCAACCCTAGACCTTGCACCTTAGTTTTTAAGCTCTTCCTCTCACCTTTTGGTTTGGCTTTTGGAATACAAAAGTTTCCCCTCTTCCTCCTCTAGATCACCCTTTCCTAGTTTTCCGATTTGAGCTTGGTTGCCTTGGATTCTAGATATTCTATTCTCTAGTGAGGTAGGGGGTTGTTGTATGTTTATACTTTAAATGTTTTAGTGTTTTTGGGGTTTAATATATGTTGATTACATGCTTGTGAATTGTTGAATTGTATATTTAATGAGACTACATATGCTTGACTTATGGATTGTATGATTCAAAGCATGTTTAGCTTGTAAATATATTGTGTAGAGATATATTGTGTTTAGTAGCTTGTCAATTTCTCTAGAATTATTTTGTTGAAATGATGTATTCTTGTAGAATACTATTTATGTTTACCTTAGAAGCTCAATACTATGTTGTTGTATACTTAGTATTTGTAGCTTGTATAATGGTAACTTGGTTTAGTTGAATTATGAAATACTTGTAAGTGTAGCAAGTCACACATTGAAGACTTAACATTTAGTATATTTGTATAAGTAACGAATCGCACATTGAAGATTCAATATGGTGTGTGCCATTGTAGACATGAAACCCTAGGACATGGTTTGCGCGGTTTCACCCTACTTGTGCATAGAACGTGGTTTCTTGCATTAATTATTTGAGTATGAGATGCAAACTTGTTGATTTTGGAAAGCTTGTAGGACATGTTTATGTGACGGCTAGGGTTTAGCCCTAGTATAGGAAATATGAATTCTCCCTACATTTTAGTGTGCACTAGGTAGTACCTTGTGGGTCGTAATTATCCGGAATAACTTATAAGGTCTTGATTAAAAACCGAGATCACATGTCCTAGTTTTTCTTATACTTGATTTCGCATTCAATTCCAAGTTATTAATCATGGATTACTTATAGCTTGTGATTTGGTGCTTGAGGTTTCAATTACGTTTAATATACTTCCGCCTTGTATGCTTGTGCGTTGTATTTTATCATTTAATTGCTTGTGTAGCTTGAAATGATCCTTTAGTTCACCTTGTAACATAGACGCTAGGTGGAATGACCCCTTGTATTAATTTATATTAGACTTACATGGCATTTGAAACCTTAGGGTATACGCATACACTACTTCTACAAGTAACTTGTTTACTCACTCTCTTTGTTTGGGTCATTTTTTAGGTCAGGAGATCTTATTTTGGAATGCATAACATTCTTAGGTTGCTTGGTAGCTTGGAGTATTTTTGATGTATTTGTATACATGCGTGTGTTAGCATGTTTTTGCTTTCTTTGGGTTTAATATTTCAAATCATGTAATTCTCATCTTGGATTTGTAAAGTGTACTTAATTACACTATTTGGGATTTATTTGATATGTATGTAAAGACATAATTTCTGTTTCAAGTATTTTAACTTTTGTTGCAAAGTTTGTGCATAAGGGCATTTTGGGAATTTCTTTTCAAAATTAAGATTTGGCTTTGACATGGTCGTATAGAAAATCACATTTTAAGGGGGGTTTCTTCACAACCTTTTTTCAAAAAAGTCCATTTTGGTGCCCAAAAATGCTCACAGATCTGGAAAATCTAGTGTAACCTTTTGGTTTTCGATCGATCGCCGGATCCGCGATCAATTGCTCTTCACTTTTTCATCCTTCGCAGGGTTAGCGATCTTTCGTAAACCCTTGGTGATCCTTCGCAGGGGTGGCGACCTCCCACGATTGATTGCAGATGCCTTTGGGCACTTGCATTTTTAGTTTTTGTTTCAAAACTTCGAGGTGACATTTTTTCTTCATTCGGACTCCGAATCAAGCGATTATTGAGTTTAACTTTATTAATTTTTCGTTGTGTTTCTAATGGTGTACACGGTAGCACCCATTTATGGGTGAAATGACTATTTTACCCTGGTCCATTCTATGTAAGGTTTTAAAACCCTTGTTTCCATTTTGTTTCCGCTAAGTCTCGGGATTCCTCGGGAAGTCACTTTTGTGTCTTAGGGATGTACAACATCCCTAGAGGCATTTTTATTTTATTTCGCTTCCGCATTTTGGGATCTATTATCAGATCATCTTTCGGGTCATCACTGACGTATCGGGTTTGTAAAACTTGGGTCGTCACATGTGATATTAGAGAGTCCCATTTGACTGCTTAGAGTCAACTCATCCCAATATTTGCCTTGAAATGACCATTTTGCCCTTATGTGTCATTGGGTTTAAGTAAGGACCCGATTAATGTTTCAGACCCACGAATTTGGGTCGTTACACTAAAATTATCCTACACTCTCTTCAAGCTGAAGTCTCAAAATAGTAGTGTCACTTAAGTTGTGACTCAATGGATCAAAATAATTGCGTTGAATAATAAAGGATTTGGATCTGATCAAGTGTGTCACAAATCAAGAAGTAATCATTAAGCATTTATAAAAACTAAGTTCAAAGAAAACTTTTATAATCGAGATAAATCCTTAGATCTCAATTCAGTACCTCGTTATGAAAAAATTATTTATTCAATTAAGTGCATATAATATCATTATAAATAGTTAAATACCACTCAAAGGAAAAAGTATTACTTGAATTTTATTGATAATTGTCTGGGTGTGGGATAAAAAGTATTACTTGAATTTTATTGATAATTGTTTGGGTATGGGATAACGGAACGCGATTGTATATTTGGGGTGCTCTAAGGAGCCCGAGGCAAACACCACCAAATTTTTTTTTGAAAAAATATGAAAAAAATCTAGTTAATATTTTTGAAAAGGTTTTAGATAGAGAAGAAATCAAGAAAATATTGAAAAATATAAATGTGTTCAAACATTTTTTATTGTACCAAAAATAAAATTTCCATTTTTTAAAAGTTACTATAAATTTAAGTTATTTCAAACGTGAAGCCCAATAATATTGCCCGTACAAACTCCTGGATATACGGATCAATCGTACTTAAATTAAACCATTAAACCTATATCTAACCAAAGCGATCTAGACTAGTATTTTGTTTAATCAGCAAAGGGTATTTTCGAAATGGAAAAAGAGGGTAAAAATAAAAAAAAGTAAATACAGAGATAAACTCCATTTTTTTATTCACAATAGTGCCGATGATTAGTATTTAAAATTCATTTGGTTTGAATTTCATTGAAGATGGTTCGTTATTGATCAATCACAGGTTTGTCTCATGATCATAGCTATCTTTTATATAATTAATCAAGAAATGTACCGATATTGCAGATACACACGCATACACATCTGTTTTCACACATAATACTGTCACAATGAACCCTAAATCAGAAATTTTCCTAATTAAAAGGGATTAAATTGATTTAATTAAACTGTAATGCTAATAAAGACAATGTAATATAACCATTAAGATAATTCAATTGCATTGTGGCTATCTTCACATTGAAGATATATATATATATATATATATATATATATATAATATCTGTCTCTGATTTCATATGTGCATATATATATATATATATATATATAATTATCACGTTGAATCTTAATTAAACTTCAATTACAATGAAAAACAATGTAATTTAACGTTGCAATAGTTTAATCATTGTGGTTATTATAATGGCGGAACAGGAATGGATTGGTTGAGGCAGAAGAGCCTGACGTACTTCTATGTGTGTGTATATATACACACACTATCACAATGAGCCTAGTTAAAATTCAATTACAATGAAGAAGCGTTTAATTTAACATTGTGTGATAGTTTAATTGCATTGTGTGTATATATGTGTATGCATATATTTATATATATATATACATTCTATATATATTCATCATCACAATGAGCCTAATTGAAAATCAAATACAATGAAAAAGGGTTTAATTTAACATTGTGTGTTAGTTTTTATTGCATTGTGTTTATTTTGATGGTGTAACAGGAATGGATAGGGTGAGACCAGTGTATGTGAGGCAGAAGAGCCACACTGGTTCGCCAACAGCAGCTATGAATTCTCCAATGGGGTCTCCTATGCACCGCCATGTGCGTTCGGGGTCGGGCGGCAGCATGGGCAACACGAAGAAGCCTCAGAACACGGCCGCAAAAGCCGCGGCCCAAAGGCTTGCTCGGGTCATGGCACATCAAATGGCTGATGATGATGATGAAGAGGACGAACTTTCGTATGATTACAAGCCAGCTAATACTGGCATTGGGCTCGCAGCTGGAAGGGCGGCTGCTAGACCTCGTTCTCCAATGGTAAAAATATCATTGTAAATAATCATTTATATTCATGTGTGTGTTTATATATATGTGTGTGTGTGTGTGTGTGTGTGTAGATGAATATGTGGTGTTTGCGCGCATGTGCCATTACATGCCGGATTTTAAAAATTAAGCATAATCTTATATGCTTGTTTGTTAATGCGTGTGTATATACTTGGAACGAAAAAATTAATCCGACTAATCACGAAAGGGTAACAACAATAGTTATTGAGATTACATAACTGTGTTTACTGTTATAAACTCAATGTACGTATTTTGCTTGAATATATATATATATATATAAACACAAACATGTTTGTAATTTAATGTTACATGATATTTTGTTAATGTAACATGTAAATATACAAGTCAGAGTTGGGCTGACAGTTCAAACAATCAAAGTATTTGTATGTTCAACACAAATTTGAACCCAGTTTTCTCATTAATTATTCTGGCATGGCATGCTAATCATGATTTCACATCATATTGTGCATCTAAAGTTCATTATCAGTACTAGTGACTCAGTGAGGAATTTGTGCACTAGGCATTGGTGGAATGAGTCTGCATTTAATTACTGACTACATGGTCATATTTTGACATGGATATAAAAATTATATGTTCTTATATTGAGCTTTGTATAAATTTTCGGTTTCCTAAAGTTGTCAGAATGATTCCCGGTTATATCATGCATTGCCTATGAATGTAATTTGGTAATTCCATGTTTTTATTTTTGTCAGACAGTCCGAACCTCCCTTGATCAACCTTCATCAGCACGCTCAGCAACAGGTGGCCGAGCATCTTTACATGTCAACACCAAGGAACAACCACCTCCACCAGTTCCCTCAGCCTCAGTAGAGCGGTCATCTCAGCCCAATTTCGTAGAACAATCTCCATCTGCTCGTTCTGCAATAGCTGGTCGATCATCTCAATCCAACAACTCCACGGAACAAGTACAGCCTCTATCAGGTATTTCTTCAATAGCTGGCCGATCCTATCAATCCAACAACTCCATGGAACAAGTACAACCTCCGTCTGGTCTTTCTTCAATAGCTGGCCGATCATATCAATCCAACAACTCTGTGGAACAAGTAGTACAACCTCCATCTGCTCGTTCTGCAATAGCTGGCCGGTCATATCAATCCAGCAACTATGTGGAACAAGCACAACCTCTATCTGCTTGGTCAAATTCAGCTGCTCGATCATCTCCAGCTGCCAACTTGACGGAACAACCTCTTTCTGCTCGTTCTACCTCAGCTGGTCGCCCAAATTTAGGAGTCAAGACCGTTCCCATGGTACCCTCTAGCATACCTATATCACTCAGGCCAACTGCTTCTGCTGCTCCAGCAGAGGTTCCCGTTGATAATCGTAGAGATAAAAGGTACCTTGGAGCTTTTAACTCTTAACTTCAGTTTGAAGGAACTAATGAGATTGCATCTCTATTTGATTATTTTTGTCTTTTTAATTGAGCCATATATTTTAAATTTTACTTTGTCTTAATCAAGTTTGAACTTTAGTTGTCTCTGTCTTCAGGTGTTTGATTGTGATATATATATTTTGTCTATAATATTTTTCTCAATCTTCAAGAGTTCAAGAAAAAAATTTAAGTGGATACCATTATTTATGTTGCCAATTGAAGGTTTCGTATTTGCTCTTCTGTAAGATATTGTGGCTGTGCGTGCTTGAATGACAAAATTCTCTGTAGCATAGTATGTATCAGATTTAATTTTCCTCCCATCAGAAAATTTGGAAAATTTAGGTGATATTAATGTGGATTTAAGCAGAAATCTTGTGCACATAATCCTCATGTTTTCCATTTTTGTTTTTTCAATTCATTAAAGTAACGCATCTTTTACACGTAATTCTCTTTTCATTTGTTTGACATTCAGGTTGTCAGATATGAAAAGTATGAAACTAAGAGATTCTAGTCCTCAGAATTCTACTTCTGCTCTACAGGATGAGGTATGGTATTTTTTGGAGCCGATAACGTATATGCTTTTGGACTAATGATGCATAGCCATCTCCTGTTGTGAAGTTTTAAATTCGCTAACAACATATTATCTCAACCATTTGCTATGTGTTGGGATTTATGTTCATTTTTTGCAAATTGATATGCTTCAAAGTCCTATTTCTTTGCAACAGTATTAGCAATTCCCTGCTTCTTTTCCTTTTCCCGTTTATTAATGGAGAATGATTCCATATTGCAGCTTGATATGGTACAAGAAGAAAATGAAAGTTTACTTGAAAAGGTGATCCCAATGAACTTTCTACTTTTTTTTTTGTGGTCTATGATTATTCAGGTCTGGTTTACAGGTGCCTTTTTTTTTCAATCTTAGAGGATTGATATAGTGCTTGAGGGCATCAAACTAGTTTCCTCGGACTCAAGTGCCGGGGTTATTGTTTGGAAGGTGATGCAATAGCAGTATCCATATATTCCATTATGACGTTATCTTGTACTGTAATGTGGATATTGCTGTTACTTCATCATCCAGAACATGATGACGTTTGTGGGCTTGGGCAACAAATGATGGTCATCTGTTGGGAAAATATAGGTAGTGTTTTCATATGTGTTTTTGGAACCCTATTATGATATGTATGCCTTCCAGATACGACTTACAGAAGAGAGGTGCGAGGAAACAGAGGCAAGAGCTAGGCAGCTTGAGAAACAGGTAATCATTTGCAGTCAACAAGAGAACAAAAATTTCGAATTTTCCATACAGTTTTATAAGATGACACATATTTCACTGTGGTAATTTATCAAATATGTAATCTTATTACCAAAGATATTCGTCAAATATATACTACTATGTCAAGGGTATTTAGATGTGGTTAAAGAAGACTTCTGTCAAACTTATTATTATCTTACCTCCCGTGCTTAATGAATTTTTACTTGTAGACAAATAAGATGCATTTGGGTTGTCCAATCTCATTATCTCACTTAACTTCATTGTAAGTGCAAAATTTTTATTATAATGCCGGGATTTTTAGGGCGATCGTTGCAGATGGTAAGGTTGCTCTATTATGACTTGGAGGTCACTGGTTCAAAACAAGGAAATAGCCTCTCCGCATGCGGAGGTAAGGCTGCATACGTCTAACCCTCCTCAGACCCCACAATGGCAGGTGCCTTTTGCACTGGGTTTGCCCTTCAACAATACTGGGATTTTGCCACGACAATTACTTCTGTGATGTTGTGGCCCGAATTTGGTGCCGGGTCATGTTGTGACCCGCTTTTGACCCTACGGCCCATTGGATGAGCTTTGTGTGGGCCCAAGTTTTGACCTGCTTTTTGCTTGTGGGTCGTGGACCCTAATTAGTATTCTCTTATAACCCGATATATAAGGGCGTTTAGGGTTTGGAGTGGGTAGAGAGAGATAGAGAGTGTGGGGATGAAACTTGTAATCTCCGATTTTACACATAGTAAAGATTTTTGCTGTATCTCCACTGTAGACGTAGGCTTTGCCGAACCACGTATAAATCTTTGTGTGTGGTGTGTTTACTTATCTGTCGTGTTTCGTGATTGTTGCTTGGGTTCACTGCTTTTGTCATAACAACTTCTTTGTTGAGCTATTGTGCAATTGAATTTGTTGCTGGCTGATGAAGATGGGAACATAGGCTAGAATTCATTGGGCACACAACTTAATTACTAATAAAAAAGATCATGGATTTACTTTTTCTTTCTGAAGTAATTGTTTTTGCCTAGTAGAATGTTCAGTATATTAACATCGGAGTTTCAATTTTGTATGCTTATATATATATATATATATATATATATATATATATATATATAGTTTTTAATGTGAAGGGGCATTGGTGTTTCACTTACAGCCTTGGGTTTGGTTAGTAGGTTTGGGATGCATGACAATTTAAGTTTATGATGGAAGCAGTAGTTGGGAATGTCTTATTTATGCCCTTTCATTGTTCCTATAGAGAAAATTCTGCAGAAGAGTGGCTTATAAAATTGCATATAGGCAAAAACAAATTAATCAATATCTCAGTACATGAACATGATGCCGGGTAGATGGAAAAAAGAGGAGTAAACACAAGTGAAATACTCCAGGGACTGAATAAGCTTGCCATCCAAAGGAATCCACCAAACAGACAAACACAACAAGAAGAACTCCTTCTTAACAAGCCTATGGCTCAAATGTCATTTCAATTCAGCCATTGGTAGATTTTCAAAGCCACTAACACTTCTCAAAACAAACAACACACATACCAATCAAAGATCATCAAAAGATACAAGAATAATTGACTCAAAACTAACAATACTTAAATAAGGCCTTTGGGACTTGAAAGTTCACCAAAAGAGGTCTTTAAAATATGAATAATAAACTGGGAAACTGATCAAAAGGTTGGAACAATAAAAGAGGTGAGCTACTGCAACTTCCAAGTAGGTGTGAAATTTCTGAGTTCAGACAGCAAAAATGCCTTTTACAAAAAAGGCCATAAGTCACTCTAGGAATGTCTGAACTGAGCACCGTTGTGTTGCATTGGAAAGTAGACTTTTAGAGCTTTCCAACCATATGGGGCTCACCTTCTAATTCCTCTTCATCTGAGGCTAAACATAAGACATTTTAGATACTGGTACCCATAAGAAGACCTGGATCCTTTTTCAACTCCATAGATTTTATTTGTTCCCAAAGGTATGGGTGATTCAGTTCCTGAAGTATTGCACCATTGCCCGTCCATTCTTCTCATATTGGCCAAAATAGATTAGTCGATTATCGCTGCTTCTCAGTACCAGGGCCTGTCTAAGAAAGATAGCGTGATACAGGTTGACTCCTTTATACAACGGGCAGGACGCCATTGCCTAATCCATGAGAATTCCAATATGGGTTTCCGCTTTTGAATGGAACTAGATTTGCCGCTGGATTCACAAGTGTGTGATCCACCAATACTAGTTATTCCAAGAAGAGGAGCGGAAGACATTCGCAAGGCTTGGTGCTCATAGGTTTCCTGAAGTTCTCATGATGTGGCTCTAAGGTCAGTTTAGGACAAATGAATGCTCCATTCAGTAGGTGTGATAGAATAGTGGCTAATAGAATAGTGTACTAAATAATCAGAGCATAAACACGCTCTCTGTCATCATCCGTTTCGAGAATTATGCAACCTCTATCTGTGGTGCATCATCACTGTTGTTCCACTTTCTTTTTGTTTACTTTACTATGGATCAGAGGGATGGAAAAGAGGCGGAATGATAGCGAGTGAAAGAAGTAGGTAAAACCTTAGTGACAATCTGAGTGAGTGAAGACTCCTACAGTACAAGAAAAACCCCTTTTCTCTTTCAGGCTGTGCTACCGGTATTTGACTCATCTAGTCATCTTCTATTCTGGTTCATTCTCTCCTGCAACCTTATACTGAGCAGCAGCTTATACTAACAGAATAAAAAAGCAATCAAGAATTTCACCCGGAAATGTACCTCTTTTCGGTCACCTGAGTTGGGCTTGAGAGACAATGAGCGTTCTCTATCAACCTCCCCATGAATATCATTCTCTTTCTCTCGTCTGGCCAGATTGGGGGCACTGCCTTGTGAAAACCTTTCTGTCCCTATTTAACCACGGTTCCTGTCTCTGGTCAAAACTCGCAGAAGAATCTCTATGCTAGTATCAAAAAGAACTTCTATACTCCCTTCTTTTAAATCCTCAAAGAAAAGAGGCCAGGGAGAAAGAGATGTAGGTTTCAAAGGTGACCCAAAAAGGCATTCTGAACTTTATGAACAAATAGGTTATTTAATTTCTGGCTGGTTGGGCTTTAACAAGGGACGCTACAGCACCAGAACAGAGATCCATGTTTAAACCCTTTAAGGTTGTTCTTGTCTTGATGATTTTATTAGTTAATACCCTTTAAGGTTTCCATTGCAGTTTGTTTTTCATGTTTTTAACTTGACATTGCCAAGGATATATTTGCACATAGAATTTTCTAATTAAATGTCATTTCACTCATGACACACTCTCTCGTTGTTAGGTGGCTAGTCTTGGGGAAGGTGTATCTTTAGAAGCCCGTCTTTTGAGCAGGCAAGCATTAAGAGTAAAAACATGTCTTTGTTATATTGCTTTATTATTTATTTGCTAATATGTTAAATTGTTTTACTCTTCAGGAAGGAGGCAGCCCTGCATCAAAGAGAGGTGTGGGCTTCAACGAATTCTGCAACATTTATATAATACATAATTCTTTAGGCACATGCATCAATTAGCATTCATATATTGATTGGAATCCACGTATCCATACATAAACATATTAAACATGCATTCTCTTATGTTATTCATATGTGCCAGCTGTCCACATGTAGATGTGTCCATTTTTAGTATGTTGTTAATGCATTCGCTCATGAATCGGGCATAGGTATGCATTACATTTTATGCTCATGCGAGTTCAAGGATTCAAATAATTGGATACTTGTGAACTAATGCATTAAATACTAACATTTAGCAACCTTCTGTCTAGATGCGATGTGTAGAAGGTTGGGAGATGGGAAGCCAATTATTTGATGTGCAGGATAATCTATGCATATTATTCAATGAGGTCACCTAATGTATATCTGCCTCTTGCAATGCGACGTGTACAGACAGAAGGGTGGGAGATGGGAAGCCACAATGTAGGGGAAGGATAGACACCGATTGGCATGTACAAAACTCCTGACATATATTGTTCAATGTGTAGGGAGTCTAGAGACCCATCTCACATGACCGAGCTCACTAGACTTCTCTCTCACACACATATGTGCCAGTTGTTCAAAATTTTCTCTTTTTCCATTTATAAAATATTATTTATCTATATGTTAATGATCATTCTATTGTTATGGTAATGGTTAAATGACTTCTGTCATTATTTCTGGGTTAATCTCTGATATGATCATGTTTAATGATGATTCATGTTCATTCCACGCGCTTGCTACTAGTAATGAATTTATTGGTGGAAGCATCCAAAAACTAGCAGTCTACATGTTTGAGACAATTTTCAAGAAACAAATCCAAGTCTCTAAGCTTCCTTAGAAACTCTAAAAGAACGGAAAAGGGATTGAGTGTTAGGTCATTATATTTGAGAGGCTATGAGTAATGCATTGAATAGCTTTGGTGTTTCCTTAGATGTCACATTTTTGTGAAATTGGTGAGTGAAGAGGGAATCTTGGTCAAAAGTGTTGAAGAAAGAGGATTTTGGAAGAAGTTTTTTGTTAGGGGACCTTCAAAAAGAAGTAGGAAATCAAGAAAGAAGATGTAGCGATTGCTCAAGAAGTCACAAGGCTACAGACATCCAAAAGCCTGTTCTGGTTGAAATTTAGTTACAATCTTTCTAAGATTCCTCACGGGTAACCTTCATCATGTACTGTAATTAGTCCTTAAGGACCTGGTAGTGTTATGCCAACTGGCCTGTCTGGGTGTTGTTTGATAACCCATTTCACTTTATTTTGAATAAATTAATTATTATAATTTTGTGCATTTGATAACACAAATAGGATATCACTTTTAAGAATAAGTGCCACTTAGAATTGGGTAAAATTTAAGTGGGAGAAACTTTAGTTATCACTGAACATTGAAAACTTTAAATTCAAACAAGTATAAAAAAAAAATTCAGTTTAGAATAGCATTTAAAACTTCGACAATTAAAATTTAGCTTCTAAATTATTCTGTTTTATCAAACATCGCCTTAGACATTAATGCCAAGTTTATTCTCCTATACTGGTAGAGGTCTACTTCTTTGGGGGTTTTAATTAAGCAGCGCTAAATAAATGTCTGGTATAAAGGGATACAATCAAATTGCTTGAAGTAAATATGAGCTGATTGAAAAGTAATGATAAAAGGACAATACCAATGTTCTTCTTCTTTTTTTCCTTTTTTTTAGAAGACACTGAATTAATAATATTGATGGAAGATTAAAACCCATGAAGAAAACTATAGCTCTAAAATGAACTGCATGGGGGTTGTATCAAAGACCCCTGTTATTTCATACATCATTTTCATCAAGCAGTTTCATTTGTTCTCTTTCTTTTTCCTTTCTTTTTCATTATTGTATATAAACATAATTCTCCTTCCAGGCTGCTTTGAGGGTTGCAGCACAAACTTATGGTGGTAGAGGTGAAGAGATCCAAGCCCTTCGGACAGAAGCTGAGGTATTCAGAAACTAGTATCTTGTATGTTTATTGACATGCTTGCTTAATCTAATTGACACTTCTGAAAATTTGAGTTAGTCTGCTAGGGATGAAGCGACAAATGCTTTGGAGCAGCTCCATGATGCTGAGAGTGAAATTAAATTGCTTCGGGCAATGACTCAAAGAATGATACTGACTCAAGATGAGATGGTTTGTAGTCAGTATGGTTTACCGGAGTCACTTTCTTTGTCATATTTTCTATGCCATACTTATGTGATGCACAGTTTTTATCTTAGGAGGAGGTTGTTCTTAAAAGGTGTTGGCTTGCTCGATATTGGAGTTTATGTGTTCACTATGGTAAATGGATTTTATCTTTGTTCATCTTTCACAGCATGAAATTTCACTCTTTGTCCGTTTATCTAAGTATTGGGGTTTCTGTTATGAGGTTTTTACTTGTACGATGGCTTTGGTCAAATGCTTCAGGAAGACATTCATTTTTGCAGAAATTTACTTCACCCCATATCATGGCCTGTGTGTACGATAATGATCTCTAGGACAATGTGGGTAAGCTAGATGCTTCTTATTCTATAATGTAATTTTAGGAATTTGAAAGGAGTAAAGGACATGTTCCACCCCTCCCCCCGGGTATTGGATGGTTTCCCCAGCCCTTTTGGGAGCATGAATCCCTTACCTACAATCACCCCAAACCATGGGTATTGTGTAATCCCTAAGAGTTGAACACAAGACCTCAGTGTCAGCCCAGAGGTCCTTTACCAACCCACGTACTCCTTGGAGGTTAGTAAAGGACATCTTTAAGGTAGCAGCTGTCATCAAGTTCTTGGCCATTTTGTTAAGAGTGAGAATATTTGAACTTTTTAAGCATGTTTGGAGAATGCATGGGTCACAAACTCATGAAAGTGGATATTAGTTGTTGCTGGAAATGATGCTTTCTGTATTGTAGCTTATGATAGTATTCATGACATGTTGTTGGTTCTGAAGTATATGATGGCATTCGAGACACATTTGTTGGTTTAGTGACAACTTAAATACATCCTTTCAGCCATTTCCATTTTTGGACATCACGTCTTCAATTTGGTGGCGTAAAAGCAAGAATATTGGATGAAATATCAGTTTCTATAATTTTTCATTTTGGTTGTTCCTAGCACGTGTCCTTGGAGGAATGACTTGAATTTGTGTTGTGTACACACTCAATGCAAACGTCCTGATCTGCAAGTATTCAAATCTTACTAAATTATCAAGTCTCTGCCATTACATTTTTGAGTAGACTTACCAGGGTGTCTCTTCCCACAACTTTGACCTATTCTATTCCAGAACCTTGTGTTTCAACTTGAATAATATAAATATTTTTTTGACATTTATCGGCATCAATTTTTTATGACCAGGCTTTCTCACTTTACTTTCTCTTGTTTTAAATCAGTGCAACCTCCAAGTCCTTATGCATGCATTTTGCATTTACTTTAAGTTATTGCTTCCTTGTCTTGCTAAATACCAAATGATTGTTGCACATGTTTTTGGGGCTTAGAAGTCACCTTTGATTAACTTTTTTTAGATTAATTGTTGATTGACAGCTTTTTTTCAACCAATGGTTTGGACTAGTTGGAAGATCATCAAATCATTCTCTTGTGATCTTTGTAATTAATGGACCAACTATGATTGACATGCGGACTTGGTTGATGTTTAATGAGCATTTCAATACTTTTTTTCAGGTATCCATGCAGAGATAGCTGAAGCGAGAAATAAGTATTGGTCATCCTTTGCTCTTGATCCTGTTGAAATTGTATTAGCTGCTGGACATAGAGCAAAACACAACAATCCATCAGGTAAGATGTAACTGCCGAACTAGTCTGGGATTTTAAATTCACTGCTTGAATGCTTTTACTCATGGCCCAGTTTTACTGATTGTCTCTCTTTCATCCGTCGAATGAGCAGTAAATAATGATGAAGAGGAAAGGGAACAAGTTCCAAGAGACTTGGATGAAATTTCTGGGGAGGGAAATATTGAAAGCATGCTTTTAGTGGAAAGAGGTCTTAGGGAACTGGTGTCACTAAAGGTTTGTGTTATAGCCTTGTGTTTGACATGCTCTTAAGATTTGTGCTTGATTTTGTGAATCTAAATTTAGGGCCCATTGCTTGATGCAGTGGTAAAAATTTAGGATGCTAAGTGTGAAATGAAGTTTCAAGCCTGAGTGCAGCCACTTTATAGTTTGTACAAAGGCTAGGTCTGTACCAAGTTCACCGTACTAGAACTTCCAAGTACCGAATTTAGGGACCTCACAGCAATTGCCTTTTCTACGAATCTCTCTTTGAAATGAATTCTCAAATTTTATACTTTAAAGCCTGTTGGGTGTCTTAGAAATCCCTACGTACAATTTGTTCACAAAGCCGGATTTATCTATATTTTTTATTTACTTTTGGGAAAAATCTTTATTTTTTATTTTGTGTAATTGGTATCATACGAAGTACAGCACAAGATACTTTGTTTATGCTGAAATACCAGGTTTCTGGTGTAAGCATCCCAAAAAGTGAATCCATGTGTATTTTTGCCTTTCTGCCATCTATATTTTGCATGATCGGTGTACGAAACATATGTTGGAATAAGTGCAAATAGGCTTTGCATCTCTCTGTTCTTGATTAGTTTAATATTCTTGCTTGCTTTCTCAAAGAAAAGTTGATTCCCCACCCCCCCTCTTCTAATGATACCTGCATAATTGCTCTTAATATAATTTCTTTGTCAGAAAATTTTCTGTTCATTATTTCTTGCTTCATTTGATCAGTGAGACTTTATCCGATGTTCAGTGTTGCTATGAACTGTACAATATTCTCCCTGAACTAGCTTCCTTTCCATGTTTTTTAGTTTTTGGCATCGATCTTTTGGCTAGTTCAGGTTGAACGAGTGAATCTCTATTTTGTTGTTGTATTTATATGAATTTGAATATAGGTTTATACTGAGTAACTGTTGCAATTTGATTTATAGACAATATATCCAATATAAGAAAGAAGCATTCGTTGCTTCATTCAATAAAATAAAGTGGCCCCAACAGTTCAAGACTTTCATATCCTTTATGGCTCCCAAAATCAAGCGAGAAATGTTTCCCTGTGATGGATCAAATGGTCTATAAATTTTAGGGAACTTCATTTTGTTTCATATTGGCTGAGACCAACCTGTAATATTGGTTCATCCTGCAAAGGATGAATAATATCAGTGACATATATAGGAGTCCAGAATTAGTACAGTTTCACAATTAGGAATTAGCAAAGCTGACACTAATGTTTCATCAACCTTGATTTTGCTTATTAGGAAATCATTTTTATTGTAAGTAGAAGTTTCTAACTTATTTTTTTTCCCAAAGGTAGAGGATGCAGTAGCACTTGAAATGGCTCAAAGTCGTCGCCCAAGTTCAGTGAAATCTGGTTTAGCAGGTCTGGAGCAACTTTTGTTCATTTGTTGAATAATTTTTTATTAGCGAATCAACTCTTATTGTTGCAACTTGATAGTAACTTTAAACAGCTGTATTATGCAATGTGTTTATCATGAGCAACACTACATATTGGCGCGAGAGCAGTCAGATATGACACTTATTATTATTGTTGTTGTTATTAGTTAACAATGACGATGATTCAGAATAAACAAAGTTAAAATAAAGTTGTATCCGATTTCAGTCTTCATATTCATCCTTTGCTGGTTATTTAAGTATTTTAGATGTTTGTTTCCCTAATTATGTGGAGATCACAAATCTAGAAAAGAAGTAAGCAAATGGAGTTGTATGATTGCTTTGGTTCACATGCAGCGAATCTTTTTACGTATTAGTTCATAAATTTCACAGTTAATAGTTATTGCTTGTTTGAGTTATAATTTTCTGCCTTCCGTCTGTAAAGCTGTCTCTAAATTTTTTTTTCGCAGGAAAATTACAGAGAAGTCCTAATTTAGAAAATATATGACCATCAAGTCTTATCAATACATAAAATTCTAGTAGGGTTGTTCATTAATAGGACTTGATGGTCTTATATTTTTAAAAGTATCACTTATTTGTAATTTTCCCCTTTTTCTTCTTCTTCTTATTCTTCTTTTTTCTTCTCAGTAATAAGATACTAAATACTAGATGAAATCCAAGTTATTAGTTTATTACCTGGAAAATGCAATATTCTTCTTAACAACCACAATAAGCAGCTAAACTTGTGATTGTATTATATTTATGAGATTTTATTTAAAATCTTCAAGTTTGTTTCTTTCAAGTTATAATTAGCCGTTACTTAAATTTGCAAAAAGGTGGTTCAGAAAAGTTAGTATTACATAATATATCTTAAGAGCGTCCAATCCTTACGATTGTAGTATATTTTTAAGTTTGTCCAGGAAAAACCCTTACAATATGACATGATTGCTTTACTCTTAACATGACAAGACTAGTAATTCCTTTTCGTCCTTTTTCTTTTCCGCTTAAAGATATTTGGTCATTAGTTTTGTAATCATGTCGTGCACCATTATAAGACCCAAGAGATTGCAAAACTGGGCCAAATCAACTGCAATGGCAAATAATCACCACTATAAAATTCAATTATATGGAATTCCTGCTTTGCCAAATTTTGGGTCTCGACCAAATTACCTGCTTTGCTAGATTCTTCATCTTGGCCAAATCATTAGCAACTGGGACATAAAATAAGTGGTTTGGAAGATAACTGAAACATTTTCTTGAAAGATTTGTTAAAATAATTGTAACATTTTTTTTAAAAAAATACTGTTCAACATTTTTGACTGCTTTCTTTTGTTAAATAACAATGTGACATGGCAGTTTTTCTGAGAATAAATTATCTGAATTGCTGATTCAATTATTTTTCCAGCATTCCTCTGATTCCTGTAATTTGCTTTATTATGATAAGTATAGTTGCCTAACAAGTCCTTTTCTTATTTAATTGTGGGTGTAGATGACTTGAAGCTACCAATTGACGGACAGAACTTTCTTGATGCATTTGGTAAGTTCTTTTATTTTAATACTCCAATGGCTAAGACTGTCTGATGGAGATAGTGGTGGCAACCTCTAAGTGGTGCAGAGAGGATGGGGGCTTCTTAGACCCTAGACCTTGATTTGGCATATGTTAGATGATGCAGGGCCAACTTCGAGCCTTGCATAATTGATTTCAAGTCAATTTGGGTCATTGATGAGTTTTGTTATGTCGGCATTTAAAGCAAGCAGCTCTAGGGTCTTTTATGAGCTTCTATTTATGTTATTATGACAGAAAGTCTGTAAGTCATGATTCAAAGTTTAAAGTTCACGAGTTTAAAAAGTTTAAAAGTTATGTCTTATGAGTTACCTCCACCATGATGTAAGACTTAAGAGGATATGGTTATGAATTGTAACTACTATTCTATTATGACCTAAGTCAAAGATTTTCTTTTTTTTTACCCCTAAGCTAAGTCCAAGAGTCATATGGTTATGAGTATGAAGTATGAACTACTGCTAGAAAAAGGGTATGATCTTTGTTTTTATCAAGGATTGAATCGAATGACCAAGTCTTAAAGAATTTTCTAGTGTGTGATTCAGATTTTGAGGGTTCGAAATCCTGACCTTTTTTTTTATTGACTTGGCGTGATGGATCTAGACTCTCAGAGGATGCTGTTAGTTCTAGAGCACTGTATAATTCAATTATCTGTAATGAAAGTCAACAAAGACTAATGTGGCCTATCACCTTATCCATACTTTCAAAGCAAATAACCACCTTTTACTTTCTTAGTTGTTAAAGTGTTTTGACACATCATCTGCGTAGGCTTTTCGTACAATTGAGTTCTTATAAACAGCATTTTCCTATATAACCTTATGGTTAAGTTTGTACTAAAAAAAAATCGGAATTTGAGTTCGTGTTGAATTCTGAAAAACGGAAGTATATTTTGTTTCAGAGTTGAGCCAAGAGGAGTATGAAGATGTGCGTTTTAAGCAGGTATGATGGCACCCTTTTATCTAGAACTTTTCATTCTTTTTGTGATAGAAACCTTTATTTTTATCTAAGATACAAAAAAGTAATTGTTGATCATAAAGGAAAAGGGTGTCTGTGCTGGAAACTATAGGTCATAAAACAGTAGATGAACTCTAGAAGCAAGACTGAGGCCTTTGCTCTATTGACTTAGAGATATGGGCCTAAAACTCAGAATGCAAATTAGAACTATTGTTTTGGATTAGTTTATCCACATAACTGCTGTGGGAAATCACCAGAGAATCTGTTTGTCATAATAAACAATAAGCATCTATTATGAACATATTCTTTATTTTAGTTATGTAATTATTTTTATTCCTAACAACAATTTTGCTCCTTGTTTTTTTTTTTTATTTTTTTTTGAGGATAGAAGCATAGTATTTTCAAAAAGAGGTACTCGAAATTGGAGAAATCTCATGAGGGTGAAAATTCAAAAGGACTTATTCTTTAGGAGTTAAGTCTAACAATATCCTTATTAAAGCTTTTGAAGTGCAATAAATCTTAATTGCATTTAACCCCCAACACCCCTCCCCCCCAAAACTATCAAAAAAAATTGCACCTTACCCCCTTGTTATAGGCGTTCATTAAATAAAGAGTTAAAATGACTTTATGCCTATTTCTATAAATTTTCTATTCAATAACAAATTTCTCTAGAAAATGGGTAACAAGGTCATTTTATCTCCTTATTTAATGGACAGCTAACGACAAAGGGGTAAGGTGAATTTTCTTTATAGTTCAGGGGGTTATCTGCTAAAAACATAGTGTAGGGGTTATGTGCCACAAAATGATAATACAAGGTGGTTGAGTGCAATTAAGCCGTGTATAAACGACGATGGCATTGTATAGTTGATAAATTTAAAAAAAAAAAAATTGTTGAGTATCTTGAACTAATGGTAAAAGTGGTTCCTTTTTACTGTTTTTTTTTTTTGTCCGTCCTTTTTATTGTATTATATTACTTTTATTATCAGTAAATTGGTATAAAGATTTTTAAAAGTACCCAATATATATATATATATATGATGTAAGGATCTCAATTTCATATGATAAATTGATTTATTAAACCAAAACCTAACTTGCACAATATTTTCTAATGGATCTATCAATGGATGGAAACAGAATACTTGGACTGTTACTCTGTTTAAATGTTACTATCAGCTTTACTATTACGACCTTATTTTGCATCCTCAGTTGTTACTTGTAAATCCATCTATTGATCACTCTGCATTATGATTTATTCACAAAAAGAGAAGTTCACTATATTTTAAAGTAAAACAGTTCAGTTTGTATGACCTGCAGACCAACTGCTCTTGTCCAAATTTACATGGTCATTTCTTGATAGGAAATAAATGTTTCAGTCTATCTTCCGAAAATAAAAAAATTAAAAAAAAAATGTTTCAGTTTATTACTTCTTTTGCCAGCTGATTTTCTTCTGCCTGTTGGGGCAGGTTTTTCTTGTTTCGCATGAAAGTTTCCAAAATTATGTTGTGTAGATGTTGAACAAGTCATTTTCTTAATATAACTGAAATTTGATTCTGATCATTTTTCTAGTATGGGTAAATCCTTCGACTGCACTCCACCAAAGTCCATTGGAGAACATTGGGTGGGCTACCACAAATTGCTTCATGAAGTTTCCTCCAACTGCACCCAAACATGAGGATTTTTATTTTTTATTATTATTTAAAAAAATAAAATAAAAATAAAAATAAAAAAATAGATTGGAATCAGTTATCAGAGAAGCTTCAAAAATCATTTTTCCTTCATTGCTAACCTGGAAGCCCACTGGACAAGAAAACAAATAGGGAGCATTCGGACCATCCCTTTTTTTTTTTTTTTGTCTTGGGCTTGAAAATGATCCTACATGTCCCTTCTGACATCAACTAATTTTCTGTTTTTTTTCGTAATATATATTTTTTCTTTTCTAAATGCAATGGACTTTGGTCTACACATATTGTTAATATCAATCTGTTCCTTATTTGCTTCTTTCTATGATTTTGCAAGGCTTGGCTTACATACTTTTGGAGAAGAACAAAAAATCGTGGGCTGGAATCAGACATTGCAGAGGAGCGTTTGCAATACTGGATCAACCACAGCTCTCGGCCACCCAACTCACATGATGCAGTTGATGGTACTCACCATTTCTCTCCAAATTTATTCACACACCCAATGAATTTCCTCACCATAAAATGAGGCTTTTGATCTTGCAAAGTGCTAAAATTTACCTAATTCCCAAACTTTACTGCTTTCGTGTCAAAATCAATTCCTAATACGCCATCTTTTTACTGTTATGTTGCATCTGGAGCCTTTAATCGGCACACTAAATTGGAATTTAGGACTAAATTAGTTCAAACTTCACACTAGGTGTTCTCTAGTTTCAATTCCAAAGCATCACTTCCATGCTAGCAAACATAGCGATACTTTTTCAGAAAGTATTTTCCAACAGTGATGTCTTTTAGTTGGCTATATCGTTGAAGTAGCTGGTCATGACTTATTGTTATTGGCAATGTCTGTCTTTTCTCTCCTTTTCTTTACCATTGGTTTCTAATTCCTCACGAGTTTTTCATGTTCTATGTTGTTCCGGATGAAATGTTCTCTTCAAATTTCAGATTGAAATTTCCACTATTTTGATTTATAGTGTATATAAAACGGTCTATATCATTACTCTGCTTCTTTATTTTCTCGATGGACCTTTGGGAAGCAAACGGTCCAAACAAGTGTAATTGTCATTCTGTGCCGAGTTTATATATAAAATGTGTTTGCCCTGTCTCTACAAAGATGGATGCATTATATATCGATGCCATTTTATTTTTCCTTCTACGACAGCTCAGAAAACCTAGTGTGGTACATTTTGGATATAATAAGATTTGATTCGTCTTGTGATGCTTTGTTCCCATGTCACAGTTGAGCGCGGCCTCTCTGAGCTCCGGAAGTTGGGGATTGAAACACAGTTGTGGGAAGAATCTCGCAAGTTCATTGATTTAGGGTCCAACAACATAACGCAGCTTGCCTCAGACTTCTGAGATTCGGTTGAGCTTTTACTTATTTGTGCATGTTTTCACAAGCATTGTTCAAGAATTTCGTCTCTCTGTAACATTTGTCGGATGAGTTCCTTTGTGAAGCTGCTTTCCATGAGTTACGTTTATTTATATATTGGATATTTATTCATTATTTATTCATTTTTTAATTGAATTTTATGTATTGAGTTATCTTGTGCAAATGATCAAAGTGGAATGTATATATTTTTTTAAACCCCTTCTTCCCTCCTTTCTCAATCTCTCCTATTCTTTATTTTTATTAGTACTTTTTTAAGTTGATGATCTATATATTATTATTTTTATTCGTTGACTATGGTTGCGTCGGGCTTTAATTAAGAGCACTTCATAATTCAGTATTAAACACATACAATTTCCCTTTCTCACATACACCGAACAATTATTCGGTTCATAAATTGAGTTTTCAGTATTGATCTTTGATTTTCAGATTGAAAGGCATAGAAGTCCAATTCTATAAGCACTCGCCATTTTAACTCGTTAAATTTTATTTATTTATATATTTATTTATTTTCCCCCTAACAAAACTCAGAACTTTCAATTTTCAACTTTAGATTTCGAAAAGATGGTGGGTAATAATACTTTTCCATGATATTAATAATTTAGTATCATGAAAAATGTTAGTATCCAATCCTCTCAGTTGCTGGGACCTCATTGGGTGATTATATTGAAAAATGAATACAAGTAAAAAATTATATCACAAGAAAATTGACGACTCTTGAAATATTTTTTTGTTTGTGACAACTCTTCACGTTAAGGATATATTAATGGATCAGATTCAAATTGAATATTGTTGGATTCAATCTGAACCCAACTAGAAATTTATGTAATTGATCCAATTTAATAACTTGACTTATTTTTTGTTATTGAATCTATATATGATTTTGTAGTTCTATTAGATTTTCAATCCAATAATCCAATTTTTTAAGAGGTGCAATTTTGTTAAAAAAAAATTAATATATAAATTAGAAAAAGTGAGAGAAAAGATAGAGAAGGCTAAAAATATGGAAAAAGAAAAGAAAAAGAAGAATAGGATATTTGATTCTTAACCAAAGATAAAAAAAAAACAATAAAGAGCGAAAATCAATCATGGAAGAAAATAATTTAAAAAATAAAATAATAATAATAAAATTAAAAAGTCCCAATATCATTCACGATAAAGTAGAGTTATGCAAACAATATTTTTTGATTAAATTTTTTATCAACTACTTATCAATCATTGTAAAATATTATACAAGCACTAAATTTGGTGGGCTCAAATTTAGATTTAATTTGTTAATTTAATGAATTATTGGAACGGGATCCATGAGTCACACAATCCTTCATTTTCAACAATTGTTACTCTCATATTTCGAACACGCTCTTTCTCATATTTTTATTGTTTATGAATTAATTATGCCGCTCTCACGCTTTTACTCTCTAATTTAGTAATTTACTCTCGCTCCCGTTCTCATTTTAAGTAACCTAGTCTATGAATAATCGAATCGAACTCGAGTCGCATGGGCGTAGTAAAAATAGTTGTCCAATCCACATATCCTAGGCCCATATCTAAGAAGTCCAATGACCCATCCAAAGATTTCTCAAAAAAAAGTAGCTGGGTCACACCTAAGGCCTGAAGCAAACTATTTATGGTCCTGAATAGTAGAGCTTGTTGGGCTAAGTACCGAACAGTCTTATTTCTCTACTCGTTCTAGTTCTAGAGAGACAGACACGTCCCTTGTAGGCGCGTGCATTCACAGTGAAGACTGAAGCGATCAGAGTTCTCCATTTTAGAGAGAGAAAGAGAGAGGAAGGAGAGAGAGAATGGTGAGGGAGGTCTCCGAAAGCTGTGTGGAAAGTCTGCTCACAGAGATCGTCTCTTCGTATTGCAATGGCTTCTATGCCAACAAGCCTGAGCTCGCTGCCCGAAGGATCGAGGCTATTGGCTATCAGGTCGGCCACCAGCTCTCCGAAAGGTATACATATTCTTCTGTTTATAGTAAAATTATAAAGGCTAGTTGATAAGTTCGTTCGGTGAATGTTTAGGGCTTTGCATATGTAGAGTCATCTGTTTTTGGATCTCAATTTTGTCATTCTTTCGGAACAAATATTTATAATATATAAATCTGTTTATGTTTGTATAATTATGAACAAATATTTGACACGAGGACAAAAGGTATGCATATACATCTAAATATGTACTGTAATCAAGTTCTAACTCTTATTTTTATTCTTGAAATTCTTCTGTTTCCAAGTATAATTGTCAACGTTAGTTACAAGTTTGTTCGGTAAATGTTTAGGGCTTTGCATATGTTTTTGGATCTCAATTTTTTCATTCTTTCAGAACAAATATTTATAATATATGCATCTGCTTATACTTGTCCAATTATGGATTTATCATATCTCATTTGGTAGCTGAGAGAATTTTGGGAAGAAAATAACTTCAAACAGTAATTACTAATTCTTAAGGTTTATTTATTTAATAAGAGATGTCAGATTGTCATTTTAACAATTTGGCTTGGTGAGGTGTGGTGTTCATTTTTTATATAAATCATAACTCTACAAATCTTGAGACATAAAGTTTTAGATTTTCTTATTTAAACTCTCCCGGGGACCAAACACATGGTAAACCAATACTTTTGGTTGTATATGTCACTTCCTGAATCCTGATGTAATGGAAGTTGTTTTTCATAATTTAAAAAAAATCATAGCCATACAAATCTTGAGACTGAATGTTTTAGATTTTCTTATTTAAACTTTCTCGATGACCAAACACATGGTCAAACAGTAAGTTCGGTTGTATATGCACTTTCTGATGTAATGGAAGTTGTTTTTCATTTTTTATAAAATTATAACTTTACAAATCTTGAGACATAAAGTTTTAGATTTTCTTATTTAAACTTTTTTGGCGACGAAACACATCGAAAAACAATGAGTTTGGTTGTATATGTCACTTCCTGGTGTAATGGAAGTTGTTATTCTGAGAAAAGTGAATGTTTCGGTGTGCAAGTGTGAGATTTCATTGTCATTGCTTATAATCTTGCTAACCCGAAACCCAATATTGGTTTGAAAGTCATCAATATGCTGATATTAGGACTCATATTATGTGAGGATCTTGTTATTCAAATGCTATTGAAAATAGCCATTTCATTTCATATTTTATGATGACAGAACCCCTTGTGTGTGTGTAGTAAAATAAAATGGAACAATCTGTCAGATCACTGTTAAGTTTTAAACTCAAGGGTAAATTGCACTGACAGACTACCCTTGCTGCAGCTGAGGTGGAACAGAAAAAATTTAAACAGGTTGTATGAAGGTAGCTACATCAGGATGCAATTACCGCACTCTCAAGTAGCTTTAGCTTCAATATTTAATCATAGATTCCCGGCTTTTTATATTGGTGACAAAACATTAACTGTCACTCTGAAAGAGGGTGCAGTAGGAGAAAAGTGTCTAAAGCAATGGACGGTGTGCATAATGTCTGAATGGAATTGTTTAACCATTATGGCCCAATTTAGATGTCTAGACATGAATATCTTAACAGCCTGATGCTTATTTGATAATTTCATGTCTTGGTTTACAGCATGTGGTCATCTCTTACTGTTCAAGCTGAATTTAGGATATGTGTAATAGTAGTAAGATTTACTTCATGTTAGGTATACCATGGAGCGCCCCCGGTTCAGTGATCATCTAGAGGCAATCAAGTTTATCTGCAAGGACTTTTGGTCCGAACTCTTCAAGAAGCAGATAGACAACTTAAAGACAAATCATAGGGTAAGTCCAGGAATCTGTATTAATTGCAAAGAAAAGTCATTGTGAAGACTTGACTAAATGGCTTATTTTTGCCTTGTAGGGTACCTTTGTATTGCAAGATAATCGGTTTCGGTGGCTTTCACACATGTCAATTGATCCATCACTGGAAAACTCTGATTCAGCTCAAGATCTTTCCTCCATGGCTGAAAACAAGTCAGCCCAAGCGACAGGCATGCATCTCTACTTCCCGTGTGGAATCATAAGGGGAGCACTTTCAAACTTGGGAATTCCTTGTGCAGTTTCTGCAGATATATCCAACCTTCCTGCATGTGAGTTACCATATTTTAGTGCTTTAGATTTGGTGCCATATTTTATCTTCAAAGGAAAGAGGAAAAAGAAAAAGGAATACTATGTTCAAGATAGGGGTTATAGCATTCTTTACCACAATTGCCCAATTGAGGGCATTGGTACATATCAGTTTTACCATTCTGATAAAGACGCCTTTCTGATCTCTTTAATCTTTGGTGTTTAAGAAAATTTCAATTATCTCAACAAAATTGCCCAAATCTTAGTGGTTTTTTTTAGTGAAAGTGAGTGGTTAAATTTGTTGATTTTGCTTTATATGTCGTTCTAGGGTAACTTGAATCCAATTCTAATAAGTCACTTTCCACAATTCTGGTATGCTGTTAGAGCATCCTGGAATCAATTTGCTGTACCACTGCCGCATCTACTAATTTGTGGGTGCTTCTAGGGTATTCATTTGTTACATTATATAAAACAATTAAGTTGGTGTAGCAAAAAAAAATAAAAAAAATAGTGGACATAGCATTGCTGTAGTTCTTATTATAATTGGGTTGCTAAGTTGATTATACTTAACCTCTAATTGGTGGTCAGGTTTGAATAGTTGGTTCTGGGATACTTAAATTCTTCTAGCTATTTAGTTATAGCTTGCATGTGGTATGGAGGCCACTACTTGATGCAATGGTAAAAGCCCAATCTGTCAAGTGTGAGGATGCTAATTCGAGTTTGAGGGCAACCACTTTGTCCAGATAATGTTGATGGTTATGTCTATACCCGGTGTCCTTTGCAGCGCCCTCAATTAATGGCGAGTAACACTAGATAATAGCCTTTTTAACATGCATGAGGGATACACTGGAATTTCTCCCACTGTGAGAGAATTTCTGAAATTTATTGATAGAGGAGCTTCATTAATATTTCCTTTAATGGGCGTCACATTGACTCGAACAAACAACCAATAGGAACCAGTTGTATCGAGTGGATGGATTTCTTTCTGTTTTTTTCAGAGTGTCCAACGTTTCAAACTCCAAAATTCAAGACGCAGTGCAGAGTCGTACATTTGTGCACTTGTGTATGTCTTGCTTGTTCTCTCTTCCTATTTTCTAGTTCCATTTATATACTCCTTGCAGTACATTTAATCAGTAGATTGGTTGCTTAATTAAGTTGTATTTGTTTAAGGGCCAACTAACTATAAGGTCTTTCTCTCCAACCAACAACGAAGACCCACAGACAGTGATCCCTGAGACCTTCTAGGAGGGTTAAAATGTCTTCCTTTGTAGTGCTTACCCCCCAAAAAATATGTTCTCCTTTTTTGCATTACCCATGTCAACCAGTCTAGAAAGGAGAATAGTGCCCCAATGGCGTCTCGGAAACTGCCTTCAATACCAGTCTGACCTGCTGTCCAATGGAGCTACCATTGACATGGAATTTTTTACTGTCCGCACAGGCAGAGCATCCAAATAAGTGAAACAATCCTTTGAGAATGAGATCAAGTAATGGTCATTCTATTACTCATACTCAAGACCTGCTCTGATTTCATTCATAAGGAAATCTACAAGGTAAAAGGAGAACTCTGCTCCGAAGCACTCTATTATGGAGTCCCACAAAAATTTCCCAGCAGTCTATAATATTCTAATTTTCCCTTCTTAAATAAAAGGGACATAGACTTGGCGAGACAAAAGATTCGTCTCAATACAAGTAACCTAAATAATTACTCAATAGCGCAACTCCAAAGAATAAACTTTTTAGCTAGATTTTCTGTACGAGGTTTGGAGGAGAGAACTAGCCATCCATGGCACTGGCCAACTTATCCCAGAACGAAAGGCAATAGGACAATGTATAAAATATGATTGGCAATTCTAGTGGCTTCCTAAGATATGTTTACAGAGTTAGAATCTCATTAACTAGATTTTTCTAGCATATCTAGGGGCTTCCTGTGTGGGTCAGGCATTAACACAACCCGATATATGAGAAAAAAATTTGGTCCTTAAACAAACAGATATTATTTAAACAGAGCTTGCCTGTCGGTATAATCTTGTTTACAATATGTAAAACAACAGTAAACAATAACGAAAATAATACTTCCCCATTCCTTCTCTGTGGTCTATTTTATTATTATTATTATTATTTTCCTTATATTTATTTATTTTGGGATAGAGACATGGGGAGGAGAGGGTTGTCTGTATGAATGGACATCTTCCATTTATCTCTAGACAATCACAACCATATACTAGCCCATTTATGTCCATTGTCCAAATATACTTAATAATGTATTCTATTGTGGCAAAGAACTCCTATTTGATACGGATAAATTAATTTCTCAATATATTTAATGATGCTGTTTATAAGTAGCCTTTGAAAGATCTGCAAAGAGTTCAATGGCTTGAGGTCACACAAGAATCAAATTTGATATTCTCAAAGTCTTCCATTTGTCAAATTGTGACCAAGTGTTATTATGTTTGGGATGGTGTTTGAGACGATCAAGACTAAAGTTCTCTATGGAAACACTTATCAAAAAAAGTTCTCTATGGAAACGAAACCTTGGTCCTGCACAACTTGTTCTTCAGCCACCCATTCCTGAAATGGAATTTTCCAACCTTCATATCTAATTGAAAACCTGACTAACAACCAAACCATATACCTTAATCTTGGGTAAAATCAAGATTAATGGATTAAAGTTCCATTTCCCTCATCTAACAAAGGACACAAATGAGTGTTATACTCGTCTGCTCTTTTTTATTTTATGTTTTTATTTGGAAGTTCAAGCAAACGCACACACATCCACTATATTTTTGCCCCTACACTCAGCCTCCCCCTTTGGGGAGGAGAGCTTATACGGTTATAACACTCGTTTGTTCATTAAAGAGGACTAAACTGGGAGGATCTTATGGAAACCCCTTCTTAGAAGCATTTCAACCCATGGACGTGGTAATTGTGCTTGAACCAATTGGGAGCTACTTTGCTATATATTTTGTTGGCTTTATTCAGAAATGGAGTTACAAGTTGTTTCAAACTTTATTTACTGATTTTTGCTTCCAAGTTAATAATTCATTTTTGTTGAAATAATATTGAATTATTATCATCTTGCTCACTTGTGAATAAATGAACAGGTTCATTTGTAGTCCGCATAAAGGCCTGATGCGCGTTTTACGAGAATTGTTGGACTGGGACATTGGTTTCAAGCATAAGTACCACACTAAATGATTATCTGTACTTTTCTCTCATTTTCCTCAACAACGGCATCGTCGTTTTGAGCTTCCGAATCTTCCATTTATTGTAACTAAAGTTGTGAAACTATAATTTTTTTTGTTGTTCAGAGAAACTTTGGTTTGTGGCCTGTGGGACTTGAACAGAGTAGTTGCGGAAGCAGTAGTAGCTATGGGAGTTACAAAATGTGTCCTCTATTGTTAATAGAGATGGTGCAAAAGGATTTCACAGAGTATTAATATCCATTCTTGTTTTATGATTTTTTAAGGAGGCCTTTTTCTTTCTAGGAACTATAAAAGTGCTTAGCTTGGGTGCAACTCTGAACTTCTCACCACCAACCAACTTAGATTTTCAGCAAATATGTTGTGTAGCACGGAAATGGTGTAATTGGATGGAGAGCGTTCGGCCCTCCATTCGGATTGTAATCCCTGTGTAATAAATAAATAAATGGGTAATTGTTACAAAATAAAACAATTTTTTTTTTTTTTTTTCACCAAGGATACGGATTAGACTAATCGTTACAAAGGGTCCGGATTGTGATGGAAAAGTGAATGGATATATATGAGTTAGGTGTGAGCCACACTTAATAGTTTAAGCTTTTGGTTTGAATCACGAAGCATTTGATTCGTTACACAAAGTCAGACTCGGTCCTGGTCCGGTGTCAAGTCAAGTGTCCGACTCGGAGGTGTTCGGGTCCCCGTTAGGGTGATCCAATCGTAATGAGAGTGTTGCGAGATTGGATGAAAGAGAATGTTACAAGTGTCCCAATCCAAAAACTTAAATTAGTAAGTTGAGTGATAATCCCACCTAATAGTTTAAATTTTTAGGTCAGATCGCAAAGGGACCCGTTACTGTAATCCACATCAGGGCATACACAATACCACCCACAAAGTCATTTAAAAAAAAAAAAAAAAAATTGATTGAAGTTATGGATGGCAAAGTTTGACATGACCCACCAACGTGACACAAGTTAAATGGGTTTGGATTGTAAATGGGTCGACATGATTAACCTTTTTAATTAATTGTGTCATACTTGGGTTGAGATAGTTTAACCTGTGTAACCCTTTTAACTGTACTTGTCATAAACAAATTTATATTTAAGATTCAAAATAACTATCTAAACTTATGTCTTATAATTTACTATTTTGTAAACTAGAGACTTTAGTAATTTGATAGAATTGAAACTTGTATATATATAATACTCAATTAAACAATATATATATATATATATATATATATATATATATATATATATTAGTAAATAGGTCTTTTAACGGGTTACACTACTAACTTGTTTTATAATAGGTCGGATTAGTGTCGTGGGTTGTTGACAAGAATTAAAATGGTTATGTTCAGATTGAGTTATTTAATTGACACTATACGATTATAACACGTGAATACGAATTATAACCCCTAATTAAAATTACTACTTATTCTATTTGTCATTTCTTTGAAAAAAAATATTTAAAGCATTAATTAGTGGTTAGTTGGTAGACAAGATTTCAGGAAGGTCATACTAATTTTAAAAATTATAGATGAGATTCATGTAATTATTGTAAATCTTAACAGAGGTCAGAATATTTTTAAAAATTATAGAAGATTTTAGTGTCATTATTGTAAATCTAACCGATGTCAGTGCAATTTATCCAATTGTATATTACTCCTCAGTCCCAAAATAGATGGCGAGTTGGGGAAATGGGAGTACTCATTTTTTTTTTTTTCTTTTTTGAATGGAAATGGGAGTACTCATAGTGTTAACTAAAAAATAGGGGCATCTCTTTTTCTATATTAAAAAAACCAGTCAATCTACATTCTCTCAGGGGTTTCACAAGGGTTTACTAGCTTGTGCGTACTGTGTTCAAATATTTTCTCTCTTTTTCTACATCGAAAACCAGTCGATCTACATTGTTTCACAACGCTTTACGAGTTTCTGTGTACTGTGTATATATATATATTCTCTCTTTTTCTACATCAAAAACCAGTCCATCTACATTCTCTAGGGTTTATAACAAGGCTTTACGAGTTTGTGTATCTATATATATATATATATATATATATATATAAGTTGCATTGGAGATGGCTTCGCTAGAGAAGTTATCGGCTAGTCTTGAACTTACAAAGAAGAAAACGAACGGCCTTCGAAAGGCGATTCTTTTGTTTGCGCTTGAATGGAAGGATTTCGAAAAGCATTTGGAATCTAATCAACAGTCCTTAGAAGAATCTTGGTGTGAAATCGATTCGAAAGAGAAGCATTTGGAGTTAATTCGAAAATCAGCCATTGAAAGCAATGAGGAAGTGGAATTGCTTCGGATTTCGGCCAGAGAACGGTTTGAGGAACTTGAAGTTAAAGAGAATGAGTTCAAGTTGTTTCAGGAAGAGCATATTACAGACTTCAAATTGAAAGAGGAGAAGTTGGGTTCGTTTCGGAAATCGGTAGAGGAACGCATGGAGGAGGTTGAATTGAGAGAAGAAAAATTGGGCGTACAACAGAAATTAGTAGAGGGGCTTTTTGAGAAAATTGAGTTGAAGCATAAGCAATTTGAACCTATTCAGAGATTGATGGACGAACGGTTCAAAGAGATCAATGTGAAAGAGAAGCACTTCGAAAGTTTGGAAGAGCGATATAAGCACTTTGAAAGTCGTTCGAAAGAACTGCATGCGATTCAAAATTGGATAGAGAGACGTGCCAAAGAGCTTGATACTAAAGAGGAATGTTTGGAAGAACGATGTAAGGAACTTGACTTGAAAGAGAAGGAATTTGTTTCTCTCCAAAAATTGACTGAAGAACGCTGCAAGGAAATTGTAAAGGAGAAACAATTGGATTCTACTAAAAAGTTGAATGAAGAATGGCCTGGAAAACTTGATTCCAGAGAGAAGCAATTTAATTCAGTCAAAAAATTTGGCCCTCAGTGCTTCATGGATTTTCGATCGGAAAAGAAGCAATTGAAGTCGGAAGGAAAAATGCTAGAGGGACGCTCTAAGGAGCTTGAAGAGGAAAAATTTGCCAACGCCCTTCATTCAAGTGTAGAGATTGAGCATCCAGAAAATGTGCCACCCGATAATAGGATTGATTGTTTATATGCAGATATTAGATTATGTATGACCATGGATGGGAAGAGTTTGCAGATTTTCCTCAATGAGCGCTCGAACCGGCATGATGTGATGTCTGATGAAATTTGCAGGGCTCTTCGGTTGCGGTTGGATTCTGCAAAGCTAGTTCTAGATGCAATGGAAGGGTTTTACCCTCCGCATTTGAAGAAGGGAGATAGAGAGTTCCAGGGGGATGTAGTTAGGAGGAGTTGTATTCTTTTGTTAGAGCAGTTAATGACAATCTCACCATGGATCCGACTTAATGTGAAAGAAGAAGCATTTAAACTTGCACACGAGTGGAAGGTGAAAATGGGAACCGCTGCTAAGAACTCATTGGAGGTGTTGGGTTTCTTGCAGCTTCTGCCTTCCTACAAATTGACCTCTGAGTTTGATGCGGATGAGCTTTGGAAACTATTTGAGGTCGTTGCTGAGCATAAGGCAGCCCCTAAATTATGTTGGGTCCTTGATTTTGCAGATAAGATTCCCGGTAATTTTCCTAAAACACTGCTCCCTCACACACATAAACGCACATTCTTAGAGATTGAAATACTTCCTCCCAGCTGATAAATAGATTGCTCTCTTTCTGCTTCTCTAATAGGTTTGATAAACTTTCTATGCTGTGAAAACTTCTCTTGCATGGGTTATCTATAATATGAATTATTGTAATTATTTTAAATTAGTATATTTCTTGTCCTTCACCTGGCTATATATGCGATCCTCTTTGTTGGTTGGTAGATGCATTTCTAGTGGTAAATCATATATGTGTTGTTGCTGTAGCACTGTCGAAATGGTCTTTTGTGTTGCCAGCAGTGTTATTACTGACTTTACTCTCTAAACTGGCAACGAGACTAAGAAGTATTGATGTTGCTAACACACTCTCACTAAATAAACTAATAGTCTGTCATGATATATAGCTTCTTGAAGAACTATTTAAATGCACTTGGTGGGAAACTAATAATGCTTAATACCTTTCAATACAATTTTTTATTTTTAAAAGATGTATTAGAAAGTCTTCAAAAGAGGAACATATCCCGAAAGCTACACAAAGGCCAAAGTCCAAGAGGGACCCTAAGGACCCAGAACCCAAAAAATCAACAAATTCATCTATACGTTTACAATGTTTCCCCAAAACCCAACAAAAAAGAGAGCCGACAATAAGAGATTTTAATGCCCTAGTAGAAGATTCCTCTCCATCAAATGATTTATTCTGCTCCTTCCATAAACACCACCAAATGCATAAGGGCGCCACCCAAAATCACAAACGTGGAATCCCTCAAGGTACCCTCTCTAAGCATCAATCAAGCCTCTCGAAGACTGAGGCATGACCCACTGGACTCCAAACGAACCTAAAAGAAATCAAAAGCCACGGGACAAGGCAAAAGGAGATGGTGAACTGACTCGCCATCCCTCTGACACTGAGGCATGACCGGCTAGACTCCAAACAGACCAAAAAGAAGACCCAACAATCAAAAGCCACAAGACACTGCTAAAGGAGATGGTCAACTGACTCGCCATCACTCTTGCACATGCAACACCAATTGACAGTCACCTATCTTCTCCTTCTCAAATTATCAAGCGTCAAAATCTTGTCCCACAATGCAGTCCAAATGAAAAAGGCCACCTTAAGAGGTGCCTTAGTGCGCTAAACCGCCTTCCCCTCGAAGACAGGCCCGGGAAAGTTCGATAGGCATCTAAACAAAGAATGCACATCAATCAATTCTCCCCTGAGACGAGGGCATCTAAGAGAGAGCATTCGGGCCTCCACTATTAAAGACCTACCGATACAAAAGCTCCAAAAGAAAACCAATGGCCTTAACCACTTCCCAATCTTGAAAATATCTAGAAAATCACACATCCCAATAAGCCTTGTGCTAACTATTTGGCTCACAAAAAACAAGTCTCTTCCGGGTGAATGGAAAGGTGCGGCGTGCCAGGAACTGCTGTCATTCCAAAGAGTTTCCAAACCGTATTCCAGTTGGAAAGTTTGAGATCAGACGATTGTAAGAAAGACTGGAATGACCTCCTTCAAAGGTTCTTTTTGCCTTGAAAAAGGACTTGAAGAGTTTTCTATAGCTAATGGAAAGAAGAACGAAACTACAAGTGCAGGACTTGAAATTAAATGAATTAGGAACTACTTGTTGGAAAGTAATGAAGGAAAGTGTTGGACTAAAATTAAACATAACGTAATTTCATTGCAGGAATGAAAAGATACATGAATTGATAAGCAGAGTGTTGTATTGATTGTTGTGTGTGTTGAACAGGGTTTGCTTGCTGCACATAAGTATTCTAGTTATAGAATTTCCTTGCAACAGTTGGAAATGGTAGTTACAGCAATAGCAGCAGAGATCCTTCCAAGTGGAACGTCCAAATTGTGCCACGTGTCCCATGTCTTCCCCAGCTTTCTCATAGTGCTGAGATGTGTAAGACCATGTGTTCTCATGATCTACCACTTATGAGGAGTGGGTTTGGTGGTTGAATGCTTGTTGCAAGCCTTTATCCACATTCTGGAACTGCCAGATGGAAAGGGCGATTCCAGCAGCACTTGAAAACTTCAACCTGGAAGGTTCGGATTGTGTCACATGTCCCATATTTTCCTCATCTTATGGTACTCACACTTGTAAAAACATGCTTCCCGTTAATTTGCAACTCCAAAATAGTGGATTTAGTGGTGTAAAGTATGTTACAACTTTTATTCACGTTTTGAAACCTCAAGTGGAAAGGATCACGACCTTCCATAATTTCAGTAACTTCCCATAATGGGAGTTACATGATTTAGGTAGTTATTGACCACTTGCTGATTTGTAGGGAATTGTTTCTTTCTTCATGTATTTTAATTTCACTCTATACACGTTACCCACCAATTTTTTTGTAACTTCCCATCAGTTGGAGATGATAGTTTCATCAACAGTTGGAAACTTCCACCTAGCATGCCTACGCAATTTCAGGTGTCCCATGATCTGACAAATTTCTTTCGTGTGCATGAATCCTTCTCCTTTTTGAATTCTGAATTGTATATGTATATATACCACATTACATACATGTTCCCATTAATTTGAATAACCACCTATGATTCAATTTAGGTAGTTTGCTATAATCTAGCAAAACTTCCAAAATTTCTCTCAATGAACCTGGACTTGATTTTCTCCCATGTACATCTTCCTTTAAATATTTCTTCCATGTAATAGGAGCAACTCCTATTTATATGGTAAGTGGAGATGTTATAGGGGTGGGTGGTTACCTCCTTATTTGACCAAGTCAAACACACTTTGAGCTTAAATATGGATAATCTGATATTTAATACATCACGTATATCCTCGTGGTGGACTCTCGTTCCACCAGATATTTCTTACCTTTGACCAGGTCTTCAGTGCCACGTGTCAGCATCTGAACGGTTCCATGCTTCAGACTTGGGTGGCTAGGTGGAACTGCCTACATGGTAGCATTCCTCTTTCAACCCTGAATATAGCTTCCTTTTCCAGTTGCTTGAACAGTAATCTGGTGTGGCAAGTTCCCTTGGAACTCGCCACATTTCAACTTTCCATTTGTCCAGATTGGTGGTATTATCAAGCTGATAACCGTTAGGGCATGTCTATCAACAGTAATCCTGAAAAGCCTGGGAAAAGAACAAGCCAAAGGGCGGTTACCACACTATTAGTCCTCCCAAAAACGAGTGCCCCTGCCATCTGGAACTATAAATATGATATGTTTAGAAAATTCATCCCAACCCTTCTGAGTGAATTTGCAAACACAGACACCTCCACGTGTCCTAACAGCAAGAGAGCACCATCCGCCTCTCTCCCCAAAACGGCTCATGGGGAACAGCTCACACATGCAGAATCACAGTTGAAGTTGGACTAGAGTTCTGTGTTTTTGGGCCTGGGGACTTGGAACGTTGTTGTGGGTATATGTGTTTATACATCTGATCGTGTTAATCTTTTAGAGGATGTCTAGGTGTGGAAACTTGTACAAAAAACAATTAGAAATATTCACGCGAAAAACTGGAACTGAAACATGCATATCATTGAGTTTTGATGATGCACGAGTGATTAAAAAATGCATGGCTGGGTTAACCGATTTCCGTTATGCCTTCGCTGATAATCCCGAGCATTTCATAATGACCATTTCCTTTACATAACTTAATACCACAATCGGAAATCCTTCTTATAGTTAAACTGATGAAAAGATGTTAATACTAGAAAATAATTTTATTACTTCTAAACAAAACTTTATGTAAATTTGATTTGTGCCCTTATCCATACTCATGCCATAGTCATGAATGGTGAGTGCTGCACAAGCTTTGCTTTTGGAATGTCATTATATTTTTTTTGTGTGCAAATCCATTGTTGGTTTTATATGCTTTAATTTTTGTTTGGAAATTGCCAAGGGATAGTGATTTTATAGGAGTTCTCCTATGTCCCACAGCTATGTTCTAACCCCTCCATGCTATATATCATACAGTTTTGGGATTTTTCATGATACAGTCTGCTTACATTCTTATTCTTCCTTCCATATATCTGTCTTGTCAGTTGTCTGCATCTTCTTATATCACCACCTTCAAGATATCTCCTTCTTCTTCTTTTTTTAACATGTGACAGATCTCATCCAAAATTTTATCAATAAGAAGCAGCACCTTGTGGCTCTTAGATATATCTGTGCATTTGAGCTTGTTAACAAGTTCCCACCAGTACCCCTCTTGAGAGAATACTTGTGCTGCAGAAAGATGCCTTACAAATCACATAATGTGCAGGTATGTTGCCCTGTATGTCACTATGATGATATTACTTCCAAATTCAAGATCTGAATAACATGATGTGTTTCTAATTAAAATATTGCTTGCAGAATAGGGCCATAGAAGAAAGGGTGGCTGCTGTAATAAGTGACATTGTTGGTCACAAGCTTGAAATCAAATACTCAAATAGCAACCTTGAAGAATGCATTGAACAGCTTATAATGCTGAAGGACGGTAACTTATGTAATGTGCAAGCAAGTGAGAAGAAACTTACATCGTCCACAACTGATCCCATCCCTACTAAGGCCCTTAACAATGCCTCGATTCTCCCGAAGATTACTGCCCCGATTCTTCCGAAGATTACTGCCCCCACTCTTGCCCCTGCCACCACTATGGCCTTCATCCTTGCCAAAATGAACGGAAAGAGATTGCAAATTTTCTTGAACGAGCATTTGGAAGAGCATGAATTATTGTGCAACGAAGTTTCTACTGCTCTCCAAATGTCAGTCGACTCAGGAAAACTTGTTTTGGATGCAATGCAAGGATTTTATCCTCCACATTTGAAGAAGGGAAAAATGTATTTTGAGGGATGTATCTGTAGGAGGAGTTGCATGCTTTTGTTAGAGCAATTGATGAGACTCTCACCTCAGATTACACCTAAAGTGAAAGAAGAAGCAATGCAACTCGCAGTTGATTGGAAAGAGAAGATGAGATCGGAAACTGAGAAATTGGTTTTTTTCCAAATGGTAGGTGCCTACAGACTGGCCTCTGCTTTTGATGTAGATGAGCTATCACTTCTTTTCGGGACTGTTGTGCACCTTAGACACGCCCCTGAATTATGTCAAATCCTTGGTTTCTCATTAAGCATCCCTGGTAAGTTTTATAAATTGGAGTTCCTGTAACTTACCTGTTTATTTATCTCTTAATCTCCATAGAGCTGTCACTCTCTCTCTCTCTCACACACACACATACACACACCCGTGCCCACGTAAATCTGATTGTTGATATAATTTGTTACAGTATATCATAAAATCTCCACCAATATTATTATAAAAGAGGGAATGAGATGGGAGAAGAAAGTTCCAAGAGGGAGAGCAAAATGAGAAGAGATAGTGTTGAGAGGGGGGGAGACACGGAGGTTTTCTAAATTCCTCAAGAATTATTCACCTTTGGAGCTAACCCCATTCTGCATCCATAATGCCTATTTAGACTTTGAGAAACCAAAAGCTCGTCAATTCAAAAGGGAACACTTAAAGAACTTATATATCCATCTAAGTGACAATAAGATCATAGATGAGGCTTTAAATTAGAACCGTGCATAACGTATCAGAGCCTAGGCTGCTAGTCCTTCCCTCATGCATGGCCCTCCCGGTGACAACTTTTGGTTGGATTTGGAGCTAATCCCATTCTACATCCATAATGCCTATTTAGATTTTGAGAAACCAAGAGCTCGTCAATTCAAAAGGGAACACTTGAAGAACTTATATGTCCATCTAAGTGACTAAAAGATCATAGATGAGGCTTTAAATTAGACCTGTGCATAATGTATCGGAGCCTAGGCTGCTAGTCCTCTCCTCATGCTTGGCCCTCCCAGTGACAACTTTTGGTTGGATTGAGATGCAATGATAGGGAGCATCCAACACACTATAACATCCTTCATACATACACCGGTCATGTCATTTCTTGATACTTTGTACTTTAATTATAAGAAACAATTTCCATAGTTCAAAAAATATCAATCAAACAAGATTAAAAGGACACATGTTGATATCAATTTCAAAACAAGTAGTGCTTTAATTGCAAATATGTGCTCTATACCTTACTTGTCAACAGTATGTATGTTTTCTTTAATACTCAATTCTCTGACACCTTGAAAACGAGTTAGCGATTTTTTTTTGTGAAACTGTATATTATTTCCAAGTTCTGAAAATTAACAAGGAAGAGGTGAACAAGTAAAACTGAGAGGTATTGCTTTGAAAGATTCTTGGTCTTGAGGAATCATACAAAAAGACCCACTAGTCAAAAAATAGAGGTCAAATTGAAATTTCAACCTATTTTTGACTTTAGCCTTGTTCAGAGAGAAACATAAAAACAAAAGCATCACAACTTTCTGAAGCAAACAGAGTTGAAAGGAAGTCCTCTTGAAGTAGTAAGACGGACTAGAATTACTCCAATCAGCATTGGAGCCTAGATTTCTAATGGAAAATCTGAGAAAAGTCGAAAGAGAAGTTAATAATCTGAAAATAGCTCAAAATTATATTGATTAAGACTTGTTGCACCGGAGAGAGGGCCGGTCCTTATATAACTTAATTTCTAAGGACTTTTGATTTCTCCTAGAATGACTTTTAGAATCCCTCCACAATAAGAAAAACTAGAACTACTTCGATCACCACCGAAGCCAAGATTTCCAGGAAAAGCCTTAAGAGAAGTTAAAACTATGAAAATATCTCAAAATTATATTGATTAAGACTCTAGCTTCATCATCTAGCCATCAGCTTTCCACCCTCTCTAACTTCCTCTCACTACATCTAGTTTTGGATCTCTTAAGGTGGCCCTTTTTAGTTTGATATAAGTGGTTCTTGATAGGATTAGAAGAGTTTCAGTAAGATTAATGTTTAATTTAAGAATGTAATAAATCCCTTTGCAGGAATTAGGATTTACTTGATTTCATGAGTGAGCTGCCCATTGATGATGATGAAGATGAGTTTTTTCTTTATTTGGGACAAAGACGGGGATGGGTCGGGTTTTTAATGTTGGGTGTACTTAATTGGGTAAAGGGTACAATGGTCAGAATAATAAAAATTATTTGTCATATGCATTGCACATGGAAATACCCAGTTTCTCTTTTTGATGACAAACCTAACGGCGAGGGGCTGATTGCAACCTTTCAAAAGTGTTGCTAAAATAATAGTTCAAGGGAATTTTTGCAAAATTATAATAGTTCAATGGATTTTTTTGTTTTTGCATTTTTCTCTTTATTTTAATTTTTTTGTTGTTGATGGTGTCGGGCCTTTTAGAGCACCCTATACTCCACTACTGGATACATACAGTCCCCCTATTACACATGAACCAGGCAATTACTGAAAATTCCTTGGGGGTGGCTCCAAGGGAATTGAACTTCCAACCTCCCAAGATGTGAGGTAAGAGTCTTACAATTAGGCTATCCCCTTGGGGGTTACTATCATTCGTGTTTTACCTATTATTTTAACTAGTTGTACCTGTGAATATCTTTTTCATTTACTCTTTTTTTTTTTTTTTTTGATAAATAAAAAATTTATTAAGAAACCGCTCAGAAGGGGAGCAAAACCCAAGAACAAAACAAAAGGCCAAGGAGCGCCTCAAGCCTTCAAAGAGGCCAAAAAAACAAAAATCTCCTCTACAGATCTATAATCTCTCCCTGAAACCCAACAAAAAAGAGTGGAAATAATAAAGAACTTAAGCATAGAAATAGGGTTCTCCATCTCGTCAAAATAACGCCGATTTCTCTCTAGCCAAATGCACCACCAAATACAAAGAGGCGTAGCCCTCCAAGCATCTTGAATGAGAGCCCCCACTGAAAAACCTCTCCAAGCCTCAATCAACCCTCTAGAGGAAAAAGGCATGACCCAAGGGATCCCAAACAAACCAAGCATTAAATCCCAACAATTCCTAGCCATGCTGCAATGCAACAGAAGATGATCAACAGTCTCCTCACCGCTCTTACACAAATAACAATGTTTCACAACGTCCTGATTCTGTCTCCTCAAATTATCCTAGGTTAGAATCCTACCCAAGACAGAGGTCCAAGCAAAATAGGCCACCTTGAGAGGGGCCTTAGAACGCCAAATAGACTTTCAAGGGAAAGGACCTCCAACTGTAAGACATCTGAAAAAGGACCGAACATCGAAACGACCCTGAGAGTTAGGATTTCAATGCCAACAATCCGAATGCCCAACTGTAATCACCTATTGATACAATAACTCCAAAAAGAGAGTCACGTCCTCAATTTCCCAGTCTTGAAAATGCCTCCTAAACTGAACATCCCAAGTCAGTATCCTGTTATCAAGATGATAACAGTCAACCACCATGGCCTGCTGATGAGAAGCAATCCTGTAGAGCCGAGGGAAATCAAAAGCAAAAGGGCGCTCTCCACACCAAAAATCCTCCCAAAATCTAATCCTCCTACCATCACGGATCCGAAAATGAACATGTTTGCTGAAATCATCCCACCCCTTCCGGATGAGAGTCCAAACCCCCACCCCTCTAGGAACACGCACCTCAAGAGAACTCCACCCTCCACTGCTCTCCCCAAATTTAGTCGCAACCCAAACCTCCAAAGCCATTTCCCAAGGAGAGCCTTGTTGAAAGGCAACAACTTCCTAATCCCTAAACCTCCACTCCGAATTGGATAACACACTTGCTCCCACCGAACCAAATGATACTTGAACTCCTCTCTTAACCCCCCGCCAAAGAGAAGAAGGAATCTGGAAAAGAGAGATGAAATACGTGGGAAGGCATGAAAAGGTACTCTTGATCAGAGTGACCCTACTCCCCTTGGAAAGGTACTGCTTCTTCCAACCCGCCAGTCTCTTCTCGAATCTATCCACAACCGGATCCCAACTTCCCACATACCTCGAAGGGACACCCAGGGGCAACCCCAAGTAAGAAATGGGAAAAGAGCCAATGCGACATCCAAGAATCTAAGCAAACATCTCAATTTCAGGGACCTCCCTAACCGGCACAAGAACACTTTTTCCGACATTAACCTTAAGCCCAGAGACCACTTGGAACCAGACCAAAACGCATCTCAGATATCTCAACTGGGACGCATTCGCATCATAAAGCACCAAAGTATCATCAACAAACATCAAATGGGAAATCTCCAACTGACAAGCGCATCCCTGCCCACCCGAAAGCCACTCAAAAATCCCAACTCGACCGCCCTCTTAATCAATCTATTTAGAGCCTCCATCACAAAAAGGAACAAGAAAGGAGAAAGCGGATCCCCTTGTCTCAAACCTCTCGAACTAGAGAAAAAACCCGTCGGAGCACCATTTACAAGGACAGAGAAACGAGCACTGGAAATGCAAAAAAGAATCCATTTCCTCCACCGCACACCAAACCCCATCCTCTCCATCAAGTAACAAAGGAAACTCCTGCTCACATGATCGTACACCTTCTCAATGTCTTACATAAAACACCCGGAACCCCACTACTCAATCTGGAGTCCACACATTCACTAGCAATGAGCACTGAATCCAAAATCTAACGACTGCCCACAAAGGCATTTTGAGAATCATAAATAACACAATCCAAGACCTTCTTCAACCTAGAAGCCAGGACTTTAGCAATCAACTTATAAAGACACCCCACCAAACTAATAGGGCGAAAATCTCTAACATCCAACGCCCCTCCCTTTTTCGGTATGAGGGCAACAAAAGTGGCATTCAAGCTCTTCTCAAAAGAGCCCTGAGCATGGAAAGCATAAAAAGTGCCCATCACCTCCTAACACTCCAAAAGGAAACGCATGGAAAAACCATCTGGACCTGGGGCTTTATCCCCGTTACAGCTCTTCAACATAGACAAAACTTCCTCTTTAGAAAAAGGCTCCTACAGAACAGAGCACTCAATAACTTGAAATAGAGTCAAAATGAAGCCCTGCAAGCAAGGGCCTCCAACCAGTAGATTCTGTAAACAACATCGAAAAGTAATCAACAAAACCCTTACAAATCTCCTCCTCCTTACAAAACATCTCCCCACCCACCCGAATCCTCCCAATATGATTGCCCCTTCTATAAGCATTGGCAAGTCTATAGAAAAACTTAGTGTTGTTGTCGCCCTTCTTAAGCCACAGAGCTCTAGACTTTTGCCTCCACGAAATCTCCTCCATGACAACAATCTCAGCAAACTCCGCCTGACACTCCACCCTGCTAAGTTTCAGGGAATCCGGTAAATGCCCTGACCCTCCAATCGATCAATCTCAGCAATCTCTGAAAAAACCCGATTCTTCCTCCACACCAGATTACCTAAGACCTCTTTGTTCCAAACTTTGAGATCATTCTTCAAAAGACGCAGCTTACTTGCAAAAGAATGACTTGGGGTGCCAACCACTCCATACCCCGCCCACCAGGATCGGACATGCTCCAGAAAACCTTCAGCCCGAAGCCAAATATTCTGAAATCTAAAAGCGGATCTTCTATTACGCAAACCTCCACAATCCAACATCAACGAACATGATCAAAAATATGGGCGAGCCAAAGTGGCCTGCACAACATCGGAGAACTTCTCCTCCCGATCACTTGACACTAGAAACCTGTCAAGACGAGAGAGGGTAGGAGGAGAACGACCACTAGACCAAGTGAAGGGACCACCCACCAAAAGCAAATCAAAAAACCCAGCCTCATCGATGAACTTCGAGAAAAACTTTTGTCAAACATCCATCTACCCCCCGTTGACCTCTCAAAAGGTGAACGAACAACATTAAAGTCCCCTCTGATACACCAAGGCAACGGCCATCTCCTTCGAACCTCACCCAACTCCTCCCAAAACAAATGTCGCACACTATCCTCTGTAGAACCATAAACTCCAGAAAAAAACCCAGCGCAAACCATTCTCCAACAAGGAGAGAACGCAAGAGACTGAGAAAAGCCCCACCTGAGAGTCCCCCAGAGAGACCCAACGATTGTCCCACATAATCAGAATGCCACCCGAAGAACCAACCGCATCCAACCCCAAAAAAAAAAATCTACGCACAATCAAATCCGTCATCGATGCAATTTTGGTTTCTTGAAGGCAAACCACATGACCTCCCTCTTTCCGAATCACTGAACTCCATCTTCATTTACTCTTGTGCATCCATACAGTCATGATCGTTGAATCACATGCATTCTAACACAGATGATAGAAAATGAATGAAGTCAGTAATTTTTTTACGTTAATCCAGAAAAGTAGTGTACTCCATTCAATTAATTATTCACTAATTTACCAAGTAAATCAATTGTGTTAACTTGAATTTTAATAATTCTATGGAGGAAACTGTTAATCTATCATGTAAATTACTGAATTGTAATTTCACTGAATAACTTTGCTAATTTTTTTTTTTTTTTTTTTCCCTAAATGAAGGAGTATCAATAAGCTTGCTAATTAATCAACTTATTGGGTGAATTAATTGATGAACATGTAGTCTTGCCTAAGGAGGTTGATATTCCTTAAAGAGCACAATGTTTGAAATTCAGTCCAACAATTATATCTATTGCCAAAATGGATTCTAGACTGAATGGAGTGTTAAGAGCTTATCATAATTTTGCAATTCACTCTTGTTGTCACGTGGATATTTGTTTATACAAATGTTATTATCATTCTTTATAGGCGAATTAAAGAATCCATTTCTTTATTTATTCTTTTTGCACCTTACTAATATCTTTCTATACTCAAATGTTAACTAGCAGTGTTTATTAGAACGTGATTTTATGCAATAATCCAGAATTGCAGTTTCTTTTGGTCATCGTGACCTCTTGCGAACATCCAATTTTCCGTTTTGAAGATTTTGGTTTTTCTTTTTGTTTGCCTCAATTCCTCGGTGTTCCATATCCAAATGAATCTGGAAAATCTATATTGTTGGTTTTCTTTAATACATATTCTTTTTCTATCGAGAAGGTTCCATGAAAATTTTCTTCTGTAATGTCCTTATTAATGGAATATAGAATTTGATGCTTATAATGTATTCCTTATTGTTATTTATTGCTTAGTGATTATTTGTTAAATTGTACCTTTTTAGTTGGAAATGTCCTTCATTCACACGAAGAGGTTGACCAGTCTTCGTCCCAAAATTCGCTGTTTAGCAACAAAATTATTTCTTCATCGGTGGGTCCTCAGGTTGAGTTTAAATCTGTATGCACCAATATGAAAAGAAAGCAAGTTTCCAGTTCTATTCAATTTTCACTGGATCCAGCAAAGCTTGTTTTGGATGCTTTGCTAGGTTGTTATCATTCGAACTTGAAGGGAAATATGAGCCCCAGGGAGAATGTCTTGAGGACTTGTGCTATTTTCTTAGAGCAATTAATGAGAGTATCACCAAAGATTAAGCCTCATGTCCAAAAAGAAGCAATGAATTTTGCAGTTGATTGGAAAGCAGAAATGATGAAGAGCAAGAAGCCTGTAAAGGTCTTAATTTTTTTGCAGATTGTAGCCATCTATAAATTGGTCTCTTGGTTTAATGCAAACGAGCTTCTCCGTTTTCTTGGAAGTGTTAACTGGCATGAGCAGGCCATTGATTTATTTCCAATCCTTGAATTGGCGGATAAGATCCCTGGTTTGCTCTCTCTCTCACACACACACACACTTCAAGCTCTGTGCTGTGATAACTAGACCTGATTTATGTGTTTAGCAGTTTTATTTTTATCAAAATCTTTAATCTTACTTCAGCTTGGATTTTCATTTTTTGTTTTTTATTTTTTTTATTTTTACTGGACGTATGCAATCCCTTATATTTATCTTTACTGGGAAGATTTTGTGCCTTTTAGCCTCCTAGAAAGAGGTATCAAAACATGTTTGTAGATTGTAAAGCTTTTTTTTAATGTTTTTAGTTTTTTGTTATCACTTTAGGGTGATCTTTATCTTTGGGCATCTTATTTTAATGCCTTGAGAAGCTTTATTGCTGCAGTTTTGATCCATAAAATATTGCTGGAACTATATATTTTGTTAATTTTTTTCTTTTTTTACTTTCTATATGGTTGGTAGCATATCAGTCTTCAGATTGTTTGTTTTTTAAATTCTAGGTACCATTCCTATATTATTTTTATAAATACCCTTTGGTTATCTAGATTCTATTGTGCTTCTTTTATGCGAAGATTTTGTGACTGGATATTTTTCTGTGCTTGAGCTGGTCGACTGAATCATGTTTTCTTGCTTTTGTTAACATCACATGACAGATATAGTTCCTCTCTTCTCTCTCTCTCTCTTTCCCTCCTTTTTTTGGCGACTGTGCCTTGATGCTGTTCTTGTTTTCTGGGAGTCATCCTGCATGTTGTGGTCTTAGATTTCAGGAGTTTGTAAAAAAATGCTTGGATCATCCATTTTTCATATTCTAAAGTTTCATTGTGTATTTATTTCCCCCAGATGTCTTTTGCTCTCTAGATTTGGCTGTGCTATGAAATGTTTTGCTTTTTCTTCTTTTTAATGGCTGAATAATTCCCGATGTGGTGGAGTTGGTCAATTTATTCATAAATTTATTTCCTTGAAAAGATGACTGACATAGTCCCTTATTGTTGTTAGTTCTTTTTTATTTGGGATTTATCCTGTGCATGCGTGGCCCATTCCCCCTGGAGTTGTATGTAGCCAAATTATGGATAGTTCCCCCACTCCCCCTCACATTCAATCAATGTCAGTTTTTTTTTTGTTTTTTTTTTGTCTTTATCATTATTGTTAATGTTTTATTGTCCTTTTATTTTGTTTATGGGTACATCTTCTCTAGAATGGGCAGTGCACTCTAATTTTTGATAAGAAAGAAAATTTATTCAATTCTTTTATTCTCCACTCTTTCACAATCTGTTGCCTAAGTGAAATACGCAATCCTTGTTTCTTGGATTTGTCGAAGTTCATTAATCATTTACCCAACTTCTTGTGTAATGTCCTTTAATTTAATTTATTTATTTATTTTTTACTTTCTGCCTTGGACAAGGGAGTCTTTTGCATTTGCCTTAATTTTTTGGAGCCAACCATTCAAAACCATGGATTTAATTTAAATTTCATTGAGTGAGCTCAGAGAAGTTTATAGCCCTGTGTGTGTGTGTGTGTGTTTTTTTTTTTTTTTCCCCTAAAGCTAACAGAACTTAACCCACAACATTGGTGGCATCTTTGTAATTGAATATAATCTGAAACTTATTGCCAGCAAAAATATGCCTTACCGTGATATAGCATCTTTCTGGCCTGAGTGGCTTGGTTTTTTGTTGATTTTGAGGCTGAAAATAATATGCACGTATTATCTTCCACAATTTATATATTCCACACCCCTTATGCTTTGTATTGCATCCATCTTTTTTTTTTTTTCTTTTTTCTTTTTGTTTCTCATCAACATGTATGCAACCATTTAGTAAGTCTTTTCTTTTTTCCCCGCATCATGTTTTTATTTAGCAATCTGGATTTGTATCTTTTCCCCCTTCATGGGGTCTAGTGCAAGTTCCTGGTTTGCATTTCATTTAGACATTTTTGTTGCTATCATCCCCAAGAGTTTTAATCCAGATCTTGTTCATAAGGATTTGACCTTAATTCAGGTAGGTTTTTGTTGAGTTTTTGTTACTCAGGTAAAGTGACCTTAATTCCAGCTACTTGGACTGTATTAACCAAAACGGCATGTAGGGGACTGTACCAGAAAATGCATTACCCAATGATGCCATTACATAACATATCGGCCGGCTTTAAAATCGTGCAAATATTTTATTACTCTTATCTTAGGATCACCAGAATACCGAACTCAGTCACCCAAGCCAAATTGATACAACATAATAATGAAATCGAAAATAAATAAATATAGTAGCAACAGTAGTTGAAAATTGCATGTAGAAAAAATTAAACCACTTTTCAAAAAAAGTATGATCAAATTGTCCACCCGTTATATTTATGATCAAATTGTTTTCAATATGTATGTGAGAGATTTTCTAGGAAACAGAAAGTTGCATATTTCTTGATTGATTTTAGAAACAGGCTTCTCATGGAGACCATTTTTGTTCCCTTTTGGGAAGAACATTTATCGTATCTATGCTCTTGCTTCTCTGTATCATTTATCAGCATAGAAGTTTTGCCTCAGGAACTGTTCTAATTTTATCTCATTTCAAGTGGGGTTTCTTTCTTGTCGCATGTATTAGTATCACTGTCCTTGAGTTGAGGCTGTAACTACACTAAGCAATTTGCTGTATAAGCCTCCTCTGGGCAGTTTGATGAAATTTGCAACTTTTTTTTTTATAATAATGCAGATATCATCAAAAAACTTATAGAAAGGGAGCAGCGGCTTGCGGCTATTGAGTATATTTATGCATATGGCCTTGTTGACAAGTTCCCACCAGTACCTCTCTTGAAAGCCCACTTGACCTATTCAGTAGAGATTGCCAATAAAATATGCAAGGAGGTGAACAATTCTCTTGAAGCACAGGTATGTTTGCGTTACTTCTAAGTATCTACTACCAAGATCCAACTGCCATCCTGTGTTTTTGTGTTGTGAAACTTGCTTTCAGGATAGGGCGACAAAGCGAGAAGTAGATGCTCTCAGAGCCGTAATCAAATGCATTACAGATCATGGTCTTGAATCTGATTTTTCACCCGAAAACCTTAAAACACGCATTGAACAGCTGGAAAGGGAAAGTGCAGACCAGAGAATTGTTGCGCCACCCCCTGCATCTGAGTCTCAACCCCAAGAACATGCTGGGAAAAAAATTGTTACGCCAACCCCTGCCCCTTCATCTGAGGCTCAACTGCAAGAGGAATATGGGAAAAAATGTATTAACCCTGCATCTGAGGCTACAGCACAAAAGAAAGCTGGAAAAAAACGCATTGCACCAACCCTTGCCTCCAAGACTCAACCAGAACATCAGCAGGCCAAAAAACATCATCGGGAAGCTAGATCAAAAGCAGCAGCCTCTTATCCTGTTCACTCAGCACGGCCTCCTTCTCAACCACATTATTTATGGGTACCTGCTGAATACTGTAGGCCAAGGGGATCCACTCCATATACCTCACATTTGAGAAATTTAAATTGGCAGTATGGATTGGGTGCCATGCCATTTGCCCCTGCTAATTTCTATGCTCCACCATTTGCGGCACCAGTTACGCATCACTTGTATCATCCACGGCGCTATCCCTATCCCCGACCATTATGACGCCGGACCTTGTAGACGACACACTAATGGCAATAGGCGAGCGTGACAGTGTCTATGGTATGCGACCTGAATGCATCCATCTACGTATCATTGAAGTTCTTGACTTTAAGACTTTCCATTGGTGACCAATCGTGTTGTCCAGATTTTTTTTTATATGTTTAGACAGTTATGATAATTGTACATTACTATCTTCTACCTTTATTAAAATCCTATCAGTAAAGAGGTTCTTTATATGATGCTTTCCAAAAAGGTGTAAAAGATACTTTTCTACCTCACAACACAGGTTAAGGTTAGATTTATAAAGAGAGCTTTGTTAATATGAAGAAGAGCGGTCAAGGACGTGCTAGGAATAGAAATCAGCGAACACAACAAATCAACTAGCGCTGATAATGTAACTTTGTTGATCGAATTTGTCACCACTTAATTGTTCTATGCTGCTTTCTAAATTACTAATAGTAGTTTGTATTTTAATCAAGTTTTATGCCTGAATGTTTAAATAAATAAAAAAAAATGTTCAAGGGACAAGTTTAAGAAATGTAACTATGTAATAATTGTGGAATATATGGAAATTTCCATTTTTTTTTTTTTCTATTTCAATAAAATATTTTGCCTTTTCGGCTTTGAATCCATTGCTTTGTTAACAACTATTTACTCTAAAAACTTAAGCTGTTTGAGATGGTGTAGCTAGAATATTTTAATCCTTCAACATGCCTATAGCATGTTTTGAACCTTATTCATCTCTTTTCTTTTTACAAAGTTCCACTTTCATGATGAAAAAAATAAAAAAATTACTTGGAAAAATAAGTAAAGATAGATTGATAAAGTTCCTATTTAAGTTGTGCAAGATTGATTGAAACTCGCGTACGAGGCTTGACTTGGCATGAAAAACATTTTTGGTTAAACTTTTTGTCTTAAAAAATAAAGTTCAGTTCCATGAAAAATAAGAATCACATTTTGATACATAACCGATCTAACTCTCAATTTGGTTCACACATTGGGTCCTTGTATCATTTTCCTACTTTAAATTGGTCAAAAGGTGGTCCTGAACTCTTCCTACTCACGCAATTGCAAGGCAATGATTTCACAGACTTTTCACAAACAATATTGTCTTCTAGAGGCATGGAATCAACAGGTCAGTGGCCTAGCGGTACTAAACTCCTACTTCCCAAAGAGAGGTAAGGGCTTGGTGTATGAGTACTAACTAAGAAAAAATAATAATAATAAAAATAAAAATAAAAAATAAATAAATTCTTGGAAATTAGACAAAGGCACATAAGTGTGCCCGGAGAGAGATGTCAGTGTAGTGGCGACTAATTAGAGTCTTCGAATTTGTGAGTCGTGTATGAGATCGGGAGTGCTAACTAAATCATGTCACATTGTTGAGTGTGTTTCTTGACCACTGGTGTGAAAATAGTGTCCAACTCTGTGGAGGTTCTTATAACACCTCTCATGTTTTAGATTTAGATGTCCATGGTCATAGTTCATTTTAGGGCGTGTGGAGGCATTTTGGAAGCATTGAACTGCATCTCTGTGTATGTGCATGTGTGTGTAAAGAGAGAGAAATGACCCAGCCACCATCATTTTGGAACTCGAACTTAAAATCATGATTCAGTGCTTCATAATTCACAGCAGCCAGAATTCCAATGGAGCTTGAAGATAAGAGTAAAATGGTATGCTTGTTTGCTTGGTTTAATCAGCAATCTCAATGTCAGTAGGTTTTTGTACAACATCGTATTTGGATGGGGAAGGCCACCATATATGAGTGGGTATGCAGCACCACTTAATAGCTTAAGTTTGCGTAAATGAGTTGAGTTTGGAAGTGTTTGGGCTTGGCTCGGGTTCGATCAAACTCGGCTTGACATTATTTGGCCAAGCTTGTGTAAATGAGCCGAACTTGGAGATGTTGGGCTCGGCTCGAGTTCGATCAACCTTGGCTTGACATTTTTTGATCTAAGCTTGAGTTCAGATGCTCGCAAACCGTCAAAAAAAACATGACTGATGCTAAGAATTTGTCCTCTATTGTAAATAGAGATGGTGCAAAAGGATTTCATTCAGTATTGATGTCCATTGTTCTTTTATGATGCTTTCAGTTGGAAACTTTTTTCTCAGGAACTAGAGAAAGTGCTTAACTTGGTTTAGCTCTGAACTTCTCACCACCAACTTAGATTATCATATAATCATTAACAAAAAAAATTGAGCTGTGTTCAGTAGCATGGAATTAGTATTTTGAAATTAGAAAGGGATGAAAAGTGTTCGGCTCTCCATTCGAATGTAATCTTTTGGATTATATATCCCTTCTCTTGTTATCATATTTTACAATCATTGCCTATCTGTTGAAACTCGAATGGTCAAAATCATATTGACTAGATTTTGTATAATGAATTTGAACACATTGGCAGGATTATTTCGTATTTAGCCATAAATATATAGTGATTGCAAAATCCATATTTGATCTTGTATTTCTCTCCTGCAAGGTCAAAATTACAAAACCTTGTATTGTTCTTGGATAAAATATGAGGAATGGATTAATTCAATTCTCATAGTAAAACTGAGTTAGGTGATTTTTTTTTTTTTTAATAGAATTGAAAATTGAACAGAATTTTAAGTAATAATTATAAATTGACATTTTTTTTTTTGGGTACTTTTTTGAATTTTAAAGCTTTCAAGAGTGAAGTCTCCTATACTAAAAAAAATTTAGTAACTTATTTATACTGATGCCTATATTAACACTTATTGTTCGGATGTTTTTCAAAAAATATTTTTATATTTTTTTGGTGTTTGATTGTTGTAAAATATTTACTAAGAAAAAAATAAATAAAACTTAACAAAAACAATTTTTCGATCAATTTTCAGCAAGTTTTTCATGGGCCTCACCCGATGGATTTGACATCAACCTTAAACTAAATGTTTGTCAAATATAAAAATAAAATTATATGTATTTTACTTAAAAAAAGAAAAATATTTTTACAGAGCCTTAATTGAATAAGTACTTCATTTGTTTGGAACTAATTATTGAATTTAGTTATCAAAACCAATCCTAAACTGAAAATTCATACAAACATTACAAACCGAGAGGGTTTTTACGAGAACAAGGAAGGTTTAGTGATTCAATTTGAAAACCTACTTTCACAACACGAGTTATTTTTACATGATACCATGTCATTATAATAACATTGTCGTGACTGAAAATATAGATGGTGAGGAAGAGACAACTGACACTGAACAGTATCCATTCAAAACTTATAATAAATGATTATACTCTAATGAAAAAGTTTGTTGAAACTTGAATTGACTTGTACCAAAAAAAACCCTCGATCTTGCTGGTTGCATAAAAAGTTACTAAGCAACAAAATTGAATGTACGTACCAATAATAAATGAACATATCACCAAACTTGTGGTGTAACGGTATAACGTCTTTACTTTCTAAAGAAATATCACCAAACTTGTGGTGTAGCGGTATAACGTCTTTACTTTCCAAAGAAAAGTCAGTGGTTCGAACCTTAATCGAGACAGTGTGTGTGAGTACCAACTAAGAAAAAAAAAAAAAAAAAAACAAATGAACATATCATGTTTAATAATAATAAAAAAAAATCATATTTATCATAAATATAGAGAGTACAAATACAGTATAACACAAGAGTAGCAAGAGAGAGAAATCCCAAATATAGAGCAAAGAAAATCACTAGTTATTATTCTTCATCAACGCAATACACTGACATCTATCTATAGATCCAATCCCGTGTTGCCTCCACCAAGTTATACAAATATTGTGGACCATGCACTAAATTGTAATGATCCATGACTAATCACTCGTTGGTATAGATTATGCACTAATCTCAGCAGGAATACAAATGGATTCTCTAAGTAGGAATATAATGCACTGTGAATTAGTGGACCCCTCTATTATATATAGGAAAATGATAATTTTGATGACTTTTATCTAACGACTTAAAAATTGACCAGCGGGAATATAAATGTGGCAGCATGTAATAATCACGAATGGTAAATTCTTTTACTCCGACTCCTTTCACAATTTTATCGCATAACATTCCATAATCCTAATCCACCAAAGAGATCCCAATCCGAACAGAGAAGAAGTTGAATGAATGGCTTCTGAGTACTAACATAAAAATTTATCGCCGAAATTTACGAACTGTTGGGCCAAATCTCCTCCGGCATCGCCGCCGCCGCCGCCGCAGAAATCATTGGTGACAACCAAGAGGTGGTGGAGATCCTTCAGCGTTTGCCAGCGAAATCTTATTCTATTGAAAACGATCCTATAACATGGCTCTCTTTCATTTCATTTCATTTCTCTCTCCTCTGGCAATTACAATACCAAAATCTCTGGTCTTTTCTTTGTAGATTTGGAACTCAAATCAGATATGTTCCAACCATCGACTCCTCCTGTAATATTAATACTCATGGTAATGGTGGAGAAACCTAGGGTTGCAAATTCACATTCTGAAGCAATTAGGGTTGAACCGAAAGCCCTCTCACGTGACTTCTTATTGCAAAATTTTTGACGACAAACCAAATAGAGTTGATTATTTGCTATCCAACAAACCAAAAAATATAAAATATAAAATCCATTCAAAAAAATATAAAATATATTACATAAATATAAATTCATATATAAGATTTCAATATCTTTTTAGATAATTTTTTTAGGATAATATTTGTCAGCTCGTGAGTAAGTCTATACTTATCATGTATGTAGCGCAAGGTTAAACTGACCTGTATACTTATTATTTAAATAAATAAAAAATAAAAAATTTTACCGAATATCCAAGTTAAATCCAATAAAAAATAGGAAACAAATTAAAACCCTAATTGGATCCTATAGGATACAAATTAAAACCCTAATTGGATCCTTCCCCTCTCTATGCTCTCACTACCTGCAAATCTCTCTCAAGTTTTCTCCTTCGCCATATAGGCTTCAAACAAGATGTGGTGGCCAAAATAGTCGACTAAGAGAATTTAGGAGGTGAAGTGATGCAATGGTTATGTTCTTCAAGTGGGGGATCCAACAACTGGAAATCCTGAAAAACTGTCAATTACCTCATAATCTTGAAGCATTTGGCAGCAAATTCATTACATGGCATGATATGAGGATGAAATGAATAGTTATGGACAGCTTTATTAGAGCTAGTGTCCAAAGCAATCAAATTCTTTAGACAATTGGAGGAGTTTGGGTCGAAATGTGATGCAAAGTCTTTGAATATTCTTTTACGTACCATGCCTATCAACAATCCCACGTAGGCGCTGCAAATTTATTTCTTAATTAAATGAAAGGGAAAATACCCTATTATAACCGTACTTTGTACAAGTACAACAACATGGCTACATCAAAACGTGACTGATAGTGATGGACAAAACCAGAAGCGATCGATGGTGAGGGAGAGGGATTTGCAAGTCCGTCTTCCGATAAGAGTACAAAGAGATATGAGAGAGAGATTCATATTAGGGTTTCAATTTAGATTTTATAGGATTAACTCAAATATTGTGCAAAATATTTTGTCTTTTATATATTTAAATTATGAGTACGTAATAACTTGCGTCACATACGTAGTAAATATGAACTTTCTAATTACCAATACTGAAAATTAGAGAAAGTAACGATGAAAAGTTGCCTTGGTTGGTATATTTTGGTTTTAAGTTGGTCCACCCTCATTTATCAATGGTTGGCTACGTAATGTATCGGTAGTAGGTAGGTTTTTTCAAGTGAGTGGAATATCAGTGCTTATTTATTTAACAATATTAACTTAGCAAGTACCTGTTATTGATATTTTCTCTCCCACCTCTCTCTAACTTTCTAACCCCCTTTGTTTTCTTCACTCTGTGCCTCTCTACTCCCTTCCATGGGAGTGGGGGATGATGGTTGCTTTCTACGGTTATAATAAACTCGACGTGGTTCATTAAGTGCGCTCTGTGAATTTTTTTTTTTACCCAATTTTTTGTTTTGTTCAGCGAGATCTGTTCATGTTGGATTCGTTTTCGGATCACATGAGTGGATTTGTTGTTTTCTCCGACTAGATCTTCAGTTTAGGCCGGTTTTGGTTTACTCCAGTCTAGATTTGATCTTTTTCTTCTTAATTTGATCTTGTGCGGGGTTTCTTTGGTTCACTCGTTTTGCTTTATGATTTGTATGTTTTTTCTGACTTGACTTTTTCTCTCTGTATTACCGTTGGCTTGGCTTTTGCCTCAATATATGATATCGTTTTCATGCTTAAAAATAATAATAATAATAATAATAAAATATAATAAAATACCATTGATATGGTAATTAAAAATACTCACCGTATTAATATAGTAATTAGCAATCCTCCCAGGAACCAAGTACAATTATTGAAGATATACATTCTCTCTAGGGTTTCACAAGGCTTTAGGAGCTTGTGTGTGTACTGTGTACTGTGTATGATATCGTTTTCATGCTTAAAAATAATAATAATAATAATAATAAAATATAATAAAATACCATTGATATGGTAATTAAAAATACTCACCGTATTAATTTAGTAATTAGCAATCCTCCCAGGAACCAAGTACAATTATTGAAGATATACATTCTCTCTAGGGTTTCACAAGGCTTTAGGAGCTTGTGTGTGTACTGTGTACTTTATATTTTATCTCTTTTTCTACATCGAAAACCAGTCGATCTACATTGTTTCCATAAGGATTTACGAGTTTGTGTGTGTATCTATATATTATATCTTTTTCTACATCAAAATACATTCTCTCTAGGGTTTATCACAAGGCTTTACGTGTTTGTGTAGATATACATACATATGTATGTATGTATGTATAAGTTGCATTGGAGATGGCTTCGCTAGAGGTGTTATCGGCTAGTCTTGAACTTACAGAGCAGAAAAAGAACAGCCTTCGAAAGGCGATTCTTTTGTTGGCGCTTGAATGGAAGGATTTCGAAAAGCATTTGGAATCTATTCAACAGGCCTTCGAAGAATCTTGGTGTAAAATCGATTCGAAAGAGAAGCATTTGGAGTTAATTCGAAAATCAGCCATTGAAAGCAACGAGGAAGTTGAATTGCTTCGGATTTCGGTCAGAGAACGGTTTGAGGAACTTGAAGTTAAAGAGAAGGAGTTCAGGTTGTTTCAGCAAAAGCACATTAGAGAGTTCAAATTGAAAGAGGAGAAGTTGGGTTCTATTCGAAAATCGGTAGAGGAACGCTTGCGGGAGGTTGAATTGCGAGAGGAAAAATTATGCGTTCACCAGAAGTTAGTAGAGGGGCTTTTTGAGAAACTTGAATTGAAGCATAAGCAATTTGAACCTATTCAGAGATTGATGAACGAACGGTTCAAAGAGATCAATGTGAAAGAGAAGCACTTTGAAAGTCGTTCGAGAGAACTGCATTTGATTCAGGATTGGATAGAGAGACGTGCCAAAGAGCTTGATACTAAAGAGGAATCTTTGGAAGAACGATGTAAGGAACTCGAAGTAAAGGAGAAGCATTTGGATTCTGCTAAAAAGTTGAATGATGAATGGTCTGGAAAACTTGATTCCAGAGGGAAGAAATTTGACTTAATCGAAAATTTTGGCCCTCAGTGCTTCAAGGATTTTCAATTGGAAAAGAAGCAATTGAAGTCGAAAGAAAATTTGCTCGAGCAACGCTCTAAGGAGCTTGAATTAAAAGAGAAGCAACTTGAAGATCGGTCCAAAGAACTTCAATTGAAAGAGGAGAAATTTGCCAACGTCCTTCATTCAAGTGAAGAGATTGAGCAGCCAGAATATATGCCACCCGATAATAGGATGGATTGTTCATATGCAGATATTCCATTATGTATGACTATGGATGGGAAGAGTCTGCAGATTTTCCTCAATGAGCGCTCGAACAGGCATGATGCGATGTCTGGTGGAATTTGCAGGGCTCTTCGGTTGTGGTTGGATTCTGCAAAGCTAGTTCTAAATGCAATGGAAGGGTTTTACCCTCCGCATTTGAAGAAGGGAGATACAGAGTTCGAAGGCAATGTAGTTAGGAGGAGTTGCATTCTTTTGTTAGAGCAGTTGATGACAATTTCACCACTGATTCGACCTCAGGTGAAAGAAGCGGCATTGAAACTTGCACATGAGTGGAAGGTGAAAATGGGAACAGCTGTTAAGAACTCATTGGAGGTGTTGGGTTTCTTGCAGCTTCTGGCTTCCTACAAATTAACCTCTCAGTTTGATGCGGATGAGCTTTGGAATCTATTTGAGATTGTTGCTGAGCATAAGGCAGCCCCTAAATTATGTCAGGTGCTTGGTTTTGCAGATAAGATTTCTGGTAATTTTCCTAAAACACTGCTCTCTCTCACACAAATAAACACACACATTCCTAGATTGAAATATTTCCTCCCAGCTGATAAATAGATTGCTATTGTTTCCGCTTCTCTAATAGGTTCGATAACTTCCTACGCTGTGAAAACTTGTCTTGCATGGGTTATCTGTAATTTATTTTGATAAGTAAGATTGCATTACAAAGCCTTCAAAAAGGGGAGTGCCTCCCAAAAGAAGCTACATAAGGCCAAAAAGCCACTAAACTCCCAAAGAGTAAAAAAATCAACTATCTCCCCCATAGATTTACAATTCCTCCCCAAAATCCAACAAAAAAGAGAACAAAGAATGGAGAACTTAAGCGCTCCAATTGGAGTCTCCTTGCCATCAAAGGATCTCCTATAATTTGAATTATTGTAATTATTGTTAATTTTATTTATTGTTGTTCACCTGGCTTTATAATGCAATCAACTATGAAAGAGAAAATAATACAGTAAGAAGGTAAGAATAGAGAGGTAGTTCAAGATAAAGAAAAACTTAAATACCCACTACTCAATCCAAAAAGAAAGGGAGAGGTAGAAAGCTGCCTCGGCAGATTGAATATTTTGATAATACTAAAAAACTACTAAATACAACTTGGAACAACCCTTTTATAAGCCACAAGGGATGCCCTAACAAAGATTTAATCCTAACCCTTCATATAAATATAATCTAATGGCTGCTATTCTGTCCAGTAGAATAAAAGACACTAAAATTTACAAAACAACCTTTAAATGGTCACATGATTTGCTTAATAGGCACATGATTGAATTTATTGATAATACTAAAAAAACTACTGAATACAACTTGGAATAACCCTTTTATAAGCCACAAGGGATGCCCCAGCAAACAGGGGCGGAGCTAGGAATTTGGTTCAGGGGGGGGCATGTTAGCACTGACAAAATAATTTTTTTTTTCAAGCAGGCCGAAAATATAATAGTGTAACAATAGTGCATTAGAATAAGTGAATAAAAAATGAATAAGAAAATAATTAAAAAAAAAAAAAGAACGGTTATTGCACATAAATTATGCATGAGTGCAAGAAAAAATAAATTTTTAAGAAGAAAAATGAATTTTTTAAGAAGAAAATGAAATAAAAAGAAAAAAAATATGAAAGAATTTTGAAGGAAAAAATAGATTTTAATTGTAGAAAGAGAATGCAAAAGTTTTTGGAGATGACAAAAAGAAATTTGAAGAATAAGAAGGAAAAGGAATAAAGAATTAAAGACGTTTTTAGAAATAGATAATTTTATGGGGATAATTTATAAATTTTATGAGGGTGTTTTATAAATATTTACAAATTATACACATAAAATAAAATAAAATTTAGTAGATTCATGGGCAAAGGGACCATTTTAATAATTTCAGGGGGGGCATTTTATCAATTTTTACAAATATATGTATAAAAAAATAATAATAAATAAATAAATAATAAAAAATTATAGTGGGGCAGCATGGGCAGGGGGGGCAGCTGCCCCCCCTAGGCACATGCTGCCTCCGCCACTGCTAGCAAAGATTTAATCCTAACCCGTCATATAAATATAATCTAACGGCTACTATTTTGTCCAGTAGAATAAAAGACGCTAAAATTAACCCTTAAATGGGCACATGACTCACTTAATAGGCACATGGCTCATTAAATAGAAACAGAATGACAAAAATATCCAACTAAAGCTTAAGAGAAACATTAAGATTACGACTTAACTAATTGACTATAAACTCATAAACAATGCTGCTCTATAAATGCAATTTCAATCTAGTCTTCTTAGGATCTTCAATTGTTTGAAGAATTTCATCTTCCATATGCGCTGCATCTGGTGAGAGAAAACTCGTCCTCAAGTTAGAAGCAAATTTCCACGCTCAATAAAAATTCTAAGCATGGCGTACCATCCCTTCTTATTCTTTTCCAAATTCATGTCAAATTCAATAATCTTCTTACGCTATCAAAGAATACATTTGCGTAATAAACAAGAATTTGCTGGATTTACTTTGAAATTGGGTAGATTCGCACAGTGATGTTAAAGGTGCGCCTAGGCATGCACCTGATGTATACTAGGCGCGCACCTCGATTGTGCCTTGTTCTATTTGTCAGACGCGCCTCACTAATTTTTTTTTTTTTTCTCGAAAAATTGATTATTCTATTTCTTAAGCCAAAAAAGTACTTTTGGCAACTTAAGAAACAAATAAAAATGCCCAAGCGTATAGAGAAGGAACTTTTGTTCAAAAGAGTAAATAAATAAGAAAGCCCAAGAGTCAAAGTGTCAACTGAATAGAAAAAGAGTGAGATTGTGAGACCAACGACGAAGCCCTAGTTGCAGAGATGAATGACGAAACCACGTCAGTTCTTTTTTCTTGTTCTTGTTCTTCTTCTTCTTCGCTCTCTTCTCATCACAGCTCTCTCTTCATCTAGTTCTCTACTCTCTCTGCCTTTTTTTTTGGGCTTTGTTTTTTATCTTTTTCTTCTTTAACTCTTTCTCTATCTTCTCGTCTACTTCTCTCTCTTCATCTACTTCTTTTCTCTCTGCGTTTTTTTTGGTTAACAAATTTATTTCTTTTCGTGCTCTGTTTACCTTTTTAAACAAACAAATTATGTTTTGCCTTTCAAGATTACAAATGTGTGCTTTGTTTTATGGTTCTTGGATGCTTGTATAGGTGATGGATTTACTTATTTATATTTGGTATTAATTTTTGGAATATTGATATGGTTTATGAGGTATGAATGCTTTTATGGTAGTTTAAATTTTCAATTGTGTGCCTCACTTTACTTAGGCGCGCGCCTCGACATGCACCTAGGCTCCAAAGGACCTCTAGCACCTTGGCGTGCCTCGAATCTTTAATAACACTATCATACGCAAAACTCGGTGGAACACATATCCAGAACTAGAATTTTAATCAACTTTAACTTTTGTTCCAGCAAACGCTTAACAATTGTAGTGTGCTCCAAGAAATCACTCCAAATCATATCATAAAAGTGAAATACATTATTTTTTACCTCCATGGATCCAAAAGCCTTATAATCCACCACATTTTCCAAGCTACATAAACTTATTTTAGTGCTCGAACTTCCACCTCTTCTTGGATTTGCAATTTGAAAATTTCATTAACTTGATCATCAACTAATCCATGTTGCTCACTTTCCTTGGCAAATTTCTTGTCATCATCCTCTTCTTTTGTCTTATTGAATTTCTCTACTTTATCATCCTTATGTTTCGGAATCGCTAGGGACTTTTGCATAACCAAGAATTCACCTACAGCACCCTATAGGATATTGTCAGACCATCAGGTTGCATCATCTTCCTCAATCAAAAGTTGTTTTTCTTCTCCCCCAAGATATCCTGCAAATTCACGAATTTCCTCCTTAAAGTCACTATCCCAACGCCTTTCTTCAAATGGTTTGTGTGCTGCGTTTCTGCAAAATGGATTAACAAAATCCTCTTCCAGATTGTCCTCCTCCTCAGATTCGACCCCATCCTGAGAAGGGGCTGGGGTTTGCACAACACGCAGAGCTAAAGCTACAATCTCCCTTCTTAGATCCTCTATAACTGCTGCGTTCTGATGAGGCTGAATGGCTGGTCTGCGAGGTGGGTTTCTTCTCCTTAGTGGCATGTTGCGAAACCTAGAAGAGATATCTGATAAACCAACACAAAACCACTGGACCAGAACTTGCTCTGATACCAACTAATGCAATCAACTATGAAAGAGAAAATAATAAAGTAAGAAGTAAGATGGTAAGAATAGAGAGTTAGTTCAAGCTAAAGAATAGCTTAAACACCCACAACTCAATCCTAAAAGAAAGGGAGAGGTAGAAAGCTGCCTTGGCAGACTGAATATGTTGATAATATTAAAAAGCTGCTGTATACAACTTGAAACAACCCTTTTATGCGCCACAAGATTTAATCATAACCCTTCATATAAATATAACTTAATGGCTACTAATCTGTCTAGCGGAATTAAAGACACTAAAATTGACATACTAACCCTTAAATGGTCACATGACTCATTAAATAGAAGCAGAATGACAAAAATATCCAACTAAAGCTTAAGACAAACATTAAGATTACGACTTAACTAAACGACTTAAAACACATAAACAGTGTTGTTCCTATTAATGCAATTTCAATCTAGTCTTCTTTCTTAAAACTCATAAACAATGTTATTCCTATTAATGCAATTTCAATCTAGTCTTCTTTGGATCTTCAACTGTTTGAAGAAAGTCCTCTTCCATTTGAGTTGCATCACTTTATATACGATCCTCTTTATTGGTTGGTAGATGCATTTCTAGTGGTAAATTGTATATAGGGTAAAGTGCAAAACACCCCTTGATCTTTTCTCATTCTCCCTAGAAACCCCCCTTGAACTTCTATTTTTACAATAAACCCCCCGAACTATTCCCTTTTTTGCAAAAAGCACCCACCGTCAGTGTCCCGTTTGGTTGTTATCATTAAATAGACATGTGATGAGCACGTGACCTAGGTTATAATTTGAAAATGACACACTTACCCTTATTACCGTTAGGATAATAAATGACTAAAAGCCCCCAAATGAAACCCAAATTGAAACCCAATCTGACTGTTCTTAACCCTAACCCCCAAATTGAAACGCCGTCGTCATTTACATTTAGACCGAACCCTAAACGAAGGTGAAGACATTCTCTACAACCCATACTCATCTCAGACCAAACCTTAAGCTTTCGTTTTGTACCAAATCGCCAAGCTTTCATCTCAAATTTATGCCATTTACTGTGAGAAAACAAAGGTGAAAGGAAGGTGAAGGTTGAAGTTGTGTTCATTATGTGTGAAGGTGAAATGGAAGACACAAGAAGCAACTGAGATTCTGAATCAGCTTTGCAATCACAAATGTGTATATATAGATATATATATATATATATATATATATATATATATATATAGAGAGAGAGAGAGAGAGAGAGAGAGAGATTCTGCAAAAAAGCTCCAAACGAATTGAAACCCAATCTGACCATTCTTATCCCTAATCCCCAAATTGAAACCCCGTCATCATTTACATTGAGACCGAACCCTAAAAGAAGGTGAAGACATTCTCTACGATCCATTCTCATCTCAGACCAAGCCTTAAGCTTTCGTTTTGTACCAAATCGCCCAACTTTCGTCTAAATTTATGGCATTTACAGCGAGAAAACAAAGGTGAAGGTTGATATTGTGTTCATTATGTGTGAAGGTGAAATGGAAGACACAAGGAGAAACTGAGATTCTGAATTGGCTTTGCAATCACAAATGTGTATATATAGATATATAGAAAGAGAGAGAGAGAGAGCGAGATTCTGCAAAAAAGCTCCAAACAAATGACACTGACGAGCACTTCATTGATCAGAACCCGGACAGCTTTGCCATCCTCTTCGATCTCCTCCGAACAGGAGAGCTCTACATTCTCTCCCACATACCCGGAAAACAACTCTACAGAGAAGCCATGTTCTATGGCCTTCTTGACCATGTCCGATCCGCAAAGTGGGGCCAATTTGACGGTAACGGATTTAGACTCTCGCAGTTCATATCAGGCCAAGCACCAGATGAAGGTTTGGATTGCAATGAGAGAGATACATATGCGCACACACGTATATATGTCCAGTGAGATTGATGGTTTAGATTGCAATGAGAGAGAGAGGTGGGTTGGAATGTACATGGGATTAGATTACGATTAGAGAGAGAGAGAGAGGTGTGTTTGGGGCGAGATTTGACAAAAAAGAGATAAGTGAATGGGCATTAAGGCTAAACATTGATGTGCTGTCCATTTCCTATTGGTAATAGGAATTACAGTTGCCATGTCAGCAAATGAAGGTTAAAATCAAAAGGAAATGATGTCATTGTATATATGGGTAAATTGGTAATTTACTGTGTCCATTAACGGCGACTTGACGACGTGTCCTTGAATGCAACTTTTTGATAGTTCAGGGGGGCAGTTTTTAGTATAGGGTGGTTTTGTGAAATCAGCTGATAGTTCAGGATTTTTCTTTTTGGGCACTTTTCCCTTGTGTATATATTGTTGCTATAGCACTGTCTACCTGGTATTTTTGTTTTGGGAGCAGTGTTATTACTGACTTTACTCTCTAAACTGGCAATGGGACGTATTGATGTTGCTAACACTCTAGCACTAAATAAACTAATAGTCTTTCATGATATATAGCTTCTTGAGGAACCATTTACATGCACTGGTGGGAAAATAATAATGCCTAAGACCTTTAAATACTAATTGTTGAAATACCCATCATATTGTTAGTTGCTTGTTGTTTTTTAAGTTAGATACAGATATAATAACTCTTAGTCTTGCTTTTGGATTGCTAAGTTTTACAACTAACCATATTTCTGGCGTGGAAAGAGGCCGCAGAAGCGGCCCGTTGACCTGCACAAAGAAGTTGACTGACCATGCTCCTTTTCTGTCTTAATAGATAACTTGTTTGAGATTTAGGAATTCCTTGATTTGAGCACATTTCTACTAGGTTGGAGTAGATTGCCATTGTTTTGGGGGTGGTGTTACCATATTTCTGGCTATTTTATACTGAGTGGCTAATTTCACCTCTCTTTTTGTCCCACTTGTAGCTAATTTTATAAAATTGGCTGTTATACGGAATGTCCACCACAGGTCCACGGCTGTTATGTATGGAGCCAGTATAGGCTGCAATTCATTTTGAGTTCATAAATCGATTTGAAAATTTCCACTTAAAATCATTGTTATAATAGAAGTAAAGGATGTTATGTATTGGAGTTGCTACCTGAAGCATCTTTTTTAGCACTGCCACACCGCCTGGCATCATCTTCTCTCAATTTGAGAACAATTTTGGACTCCAAATAACTAGCCTTGATATTCAATGGCCTAACTAGAAATAGACGATTACACCTGTAGGATCAGAAAATGATTTAAATTGACCTAAAATTAATACAAGTGCAAAATATGAAGTAATGGGGAAAACAATATATATTCTAAGCTACCAGGCAGGGCTCGGAACTGTCTTCTCATGCGGAAGAGCTCAGAAAAGAAGAAAGAAGGGATGGAATGCCATTCTCTATTTTTGATTGATTGTGGAAATTTGATTCTAAGTTGAGGACAAGTTTTCTCTCACCTGGAGGGACTGATGCAACGCAGATGGAAGAAGGCTAGCAGTTGAACATCCTTAGAAGACTAGACTGAGATTGCACTAATAGAGGCAACATTGTTTATTGGTTTTAAGTCATTTAGTTAAGTTGTAAGTATGTCTAAATTTCCTGTTTAATGTTTGCCTTAAGCTCTAGTTGGGATATTTTTTGTCATTCTGCTTCTATCTAGTGAGTCATGTGACCATTTAATGGCTGTTTTGTGATTTTTAGTGCCTTTTATTCTGCTGGACAAAATAGTAGCTATTAGATTATGTTTATATGAAGGGTTAGGATTATATCTTTGCTAAGGTATCCGTTGTGGCTTATAAAAGGGTGGTTCCAAGTTGTATTCAACAACTTTTTAGTATTATCAATAATTCAGCCTGCTATAGCAGCTTTCTACCTCTCCCTTTCTTTTGGGATTGAGTTATGGGTGTTTAAGCTATTCTCTAGCTTGATCTAGCTCTTTGTTTTTCCCTTGTAACGCGTTTTATTCTCTCTTTTATGGTTGATTGCATTAGTATGGGTCCAATGCTGACCCTTGATGTAAGCCTATGGTAATTGGAAATTCACTTGTTTCTCCTACAGCCGTTCTAACTATAGTCACACAATCATCATACATGTCGTATATTGTATCAGTATATTCCATTGTGACTCTTTTATTTTCTACCCAGTCAACTCAGTAGAGCAAGTGGTGTCCATAGGACTACCTACCGGAGGCGAGGCCCCAACAGCCCGCATGCACTCCACACATCATCAGGTGTATGTGGGCTTGCACGGCTGGCTGTATCCATGTCGTGACTGTATCCTTGTTTTTTGGGATTAGACCTGTCGGCATATCTGCATTGTATTATGTCTCTCTTATGGTCGTGTTCATCCTACTTAAGTTGGTATTAAGATCACTATACTTTTACCTTTCAGAAAACGAAAAAGATCACTATACTTTCTACTTCCTCAGGGTTCTGTTTTCAATGCTCTGATATATTCCTTCATGCATTCTGAGCAGTTTTGTTGTTGATCTGTCTGTCATCCATGTACATTAGGATCTCGGTGTTTCACTAATGATATACACGAAGGTCAAATAAATGACTTGAACCCTTGTAATTTTATGTATATTACCTTATCTTAGTTTTTTGTTGATTCTAATGCATTTCCTTTCTTTTAATGCTTTTCTTTATTAATTTATTTGGAGGAGGGAAGGGGATGGGAAAGTGGACACGGAACATGATATTACAAGCAGGAAACTAAATTAGAGCCTTGTGTCAAAAGAGGAAAAAAGAACAAAGAAAAGAAGAAGGAATGAAAGCACGATGTTAAACAGTAAAAATTTAGAAACTCAATGGGAACATTACGAGAAACAATGGTGGGAACAGGGAAACGTGCAAACATCCTGAACTGCTAATGGCCGTCTTTAAATTATTACAGTAATTATTGAAAGCATTTTCCAAGACATTCAATTTATTTGTCCTACAAACATTTAATTCCAGTAGGAGAATTGAATCTTACACTGATAGTTACAGAAATGGAAATGGAAATGGGAAAATTTGTGGGAACTGGAGGCTTGAGCGAAAAAATTGGGTCAGTTGTGATGGAAGTTAGTTAATGGATGACACTTCAAAGAGAAATATTATGAGAAACAAGTACAGATATTCTGAGAAACAACTTTGCACGTGTTTCCCGTAGTAAATAGAAATAATCTCTTAGTCATTTGGGTTATCCTCATATGTGCTTGAGAATATCTTACACTTACCGGGGGTAAAAAATGTGTATTATATTATTACCTAAACAAGTCAATAGTTCTCAGAAGTGTCCACCCATTATATTTATGGTCATTTTGTTTTCAATATGCATATGAAAGATTTTCTAGGAAATGGAAAGCGAATTGTGTATTTCTTGATTGATTTTAGAAATAGGCTTCTCATGGTGACCATTTTTATTTGGGAAGAACATATTCTGTATCTATGCTCTTGTTTCTCTGTATCATTTCTTAGCATGGAAGTTTTGCCTCAAGAACTGTTCTAATTTTATCTCATTTCAAGTGGGTTTTCTTTCTTGTTGCATGTATTAGTATCGCTGTCCTTGAGTTTAGGCTGCAACTACATCAAGCAATTTGCTGTCTAAAGCCTTCTCTGGGCAGTTTGATGAAATTTGCAATTCTTTTTTTTTTTTTTTTTAAATGCAGATTTCATCCAAAAACTTATAGAAAGGGAGCAGTGGCTTGCGGCTATCAAGTACATTTATGCTTATGGCCTTGTTGAAAAGTTCCCACCAGTACCTCTCCTGAAAGGCTACTTGACCTATTCAGAGGAGATTGCCAATAAAATATGCAACAAGGGGAACAATTCTCTTGAAGCACAGGTATGTTTGCGTTACTTCTAAGTATCTACTTCCAAGATGCAACTGCCAGCCTGTGTTTATATGTTGTGAAACTTGCTTACAGGATAGGGCGACAAAGCGAGAAGTATATGCTCTGACAGCTGTAATCAAATGCATTACAGATCATGGTCTTGAATCTGATTTCTCGGCCAAAAACCTTAAAACACGTATTGAAAAGCTAGAAAGGAAAAATGCAGACCGGAGTGTTGTTGTGCCACACCCTGCATCTGAGGCTCAAGCTCAAGAGCGAGCTAGGAAAAAATTTATTACGCCAACCCCTGCCCCTTCATCTGAGGCTCAACCGCAAAAAGAATATGGGAAAAAATGTATTGCCCCTGCTTTTTCATCTGAGGCTCAACCGCAAAAGCAAGCTGGGGAAAATTGTATTAACCCTGAATCTGAGGCTAAAGTGCAAAAGAAAGCTGAAAAAAAGCGTATTGCACCAACCCCTGCCTCTGCCTCCAATACTCAACCGCAACATCAGCTAGCGAAAAAACGTCCTCGGAAAGCTATATCAAAAGCAGCAGCCTCGAGGGCTCCTGATGGTTCTGCTTATCCTGTTCACTCAACACATCCTCCTCCTCAACGCCCGGCATGCTTTTTTTCAGAACAAGGTGCACCTGATTTAAGGCCACCTGCTGAATACTGTAGGCCAAGGGGATCCACTCCTTATTACATATGAGTGATTTAAATGGGCAGTATGGAACTATGGATTGGGTGCCCCTGCTAACAGGGGCGCCAGGTACGCATCACTTGTTTCATCCATGGCGCTATCCCTATCCCCAACCATAATGACCCCGGTCACCTTGTAGACACACCAAATACAATAGTATCATCCATGGCGCTATCCCTATCCCCAACCGTAATGCCCCGGTCACCTTGTAGACACACCAAATGCAATAGGCAAGCGTGACTGTGTCTATGTTATTCAACCTGAATGCATCCATCTTCCTATCATTGAAGTGCTTCCTAGGCTAAATTTTATTGATGGTAAAATCTTGGAAGCTTCTCCATCTCTGTGATCTTGTCATTCCTCCATCGCTGTGATTTGGTCATTGGAGACCAATCGTATTGTACATATTTTTTATTTTTTATTTTTATGTTTTCAATTGTACATTATTATCTTGTATCCTATTAAAATTCTCAGTAAAGAGTTGTTTCTGTTTTATGATGGTTTCCAAAAAGGTGTAAAAGATGCATTTCTATATCACAACAGTGTTCTTGCAGCTTAAAGGTTATATATATAAAGAGAGCTTGAAAATAAAGAGTAGAATGGTATGCTTGTTTATTTAGTTTAATAAGCAATCTCTATGTTAGTGGGTTCCTTGGAAAAAAATAAAAAATGTTAGTGGTTCCCATCACATGGGATCAGGATGGGGAAGGTCGTAGTATACATGGGTGGGTACGGAATATCACTTAATAGTTTAAGTTTTTGAATTGAAATATAAGCGTTTGACTCATTACAAATGATATCAGAGTAGGTCTAATTCTTAATCCGGTGTTAAGCCAAGGGTCTACCCGGATGGATCTATGTCCAAGTCAACCTGGATTAGAGGACAAGTATTTGACTCGTTACAAGTGATATCAAAGCAAGCCCAGTCCTTGATTTGGTGTCATGCCAAGGGTCCACCCTGATGGAATTCATGTCCAAGTCAACCAGATGTTGCAAGTTCGGGTGAGAGAGAATATGGAGGGTTCTTCTTGTCCCACGTCGGATTTAGATGGGAATGTCTTGAGCATACATGGAAGGGGTATACAACACTACCTAATTGCCTAAGCTTTTGAGTTAGAAGGCAAATGTCCAATCCCCTAACTTATTAGGGGTCAATGAGAGTGTTTTTTTTTTTTTTTTTTTTTTGTGTGTCAAAATGGGGTATTGCTAAATACGTGTTTCAATATTAATTTCACTAAATTTTATGAAAATTATATTAATTAACTTTTCAACTATCAATGGCATCTTTGAAACTGCCTTCAATACCAGTCTTACTCTCCCAAAAGGCAGTCCATCCAACTAAGTGAATAATCCTTTTGAGAATGAGAGGAAGTTACGATCATTCAATTACTCATACTCAAAACAAAATTTATCATTTTTTTTTTTTTTTGAAAGGTAAATTTCAAGTCAACTTCTCTGTTGGAAAAAAGGTAAATTTCAGTTTATAGATAGAAGTATAATATTTTACAAGCCCATGAACAGAGAAGTTAGCCCAAGTTAACCAATCATCACAATTTCAACCAAAAGTTAACCCGCCCAATCATTACTATTTATTCTTTTTGTCATTTCATTTATTAAAATATTCAAGTGGAATGTAATTGATAAAGTCCTTGATTATTTTAATAAACTTATATCCACCTAAAACCTATTAATTAATTATGTGTCAGATTCAAAACCAAAATTTCAAGCCAACTTAAAGGCAATTCTCATGTGACTACCTTAAAAGTGACACAAAAGTCAATTTAGTTCTGCTTTGTTTATTATTATTATTATTATTATTATTATTATTATATAGTCAGGTACCCTCTTTCGAGTTCTTCTCTCTTTAATGGGATTGCTTTCTCTCTTTAATGGGATTGCTTCATAATTTGTATGTACTCGATTGGTCTGGTGTGAGAATAAAGTGAACTAGCTTCATGATTTTTATTTTTTATTTTTTTGGAAAGTTGAATAGATAGAAGATTGAAATGCCTAGCTTCATAATAATTGCTTGGTTAACTCAAAATTCTATTGAAGTTTTTTTGAGGCATCTAATCTTTTTATATCTATTTTATAGCAACAGTTAGCATTGCTTGATTAACTTAAAATATTCCAGTTTTTTGAGCAATTCTTGTACTGTTAATTGATTTAATGTCAATATTATTATCATACAAAATTGAACTTTATGATTATATATATTCTACAACTTTAAAATATTAATTGATATTTATGCTTTGATTAAAGAACACAATATGTGACTCTTTGGATCAGGTTGAATAACAATAATCAATTATGTCTACTGCTTAGATGTATGAGGGTTATTTTCTACTAATCTATTTATTATCAATTTTGTTACAGCGGCTGAAATTTGATTGGTTAACTCAAAACTTTGTTCAAGTTTTCTTTTCTTTCTTTCTTTTTCTTTTTTAATAGCAATTCTTGTATTCTTTATTGAGTTGGTGACAATTTGATTACAGTACCAACTTTTACTTTATGATTTTTGGTCTTTAAAATTGTTAAGAGAAAATCAGTGTGAAATTTTGTATTTATTGTAATCTCATGATCTGAGTCGATTGTGAAGGTGACGTTTATCTCCTTTAGGCACTCCTTGGATGTAGTTTTTATCTTTGCCAACAAATTGTTGTATCAACAAGCTGATGTAATTTTCATCCACTAAAAACTTGAATTTAAAGCTAATCATATCGTTATCTAGATAGGTAAACACTTTGTAATGTAGGAATAAATTTTCTCATCAAAAGTATTTTAATAGATGATTATTGTCTGTATCTATTTCAGTATTCACGTGAGTAAAGACGCACGTGAGTATCAAAGTTAAAATAAAAATATAATATTGAAATTGATAATATATTTATAAAGCATAAAATTAAAATAAAAAATTAGTATGGAAGTTAAAAGAAAGATTGTATGGTTTGAAGCAGGTTCAAGGTAGTGGCACAAAAAATTGATGGGTTTATGCAACGAAATGGTTACACGCTAACCATTGCTACTATTTCGGGGGGTTTGAGTCTAGCTACATCATTTTGTTATTGTTGATGGCATGTTAGTGGTAGGTTCTGATATGGGATGAAATCAACGAGTTGAAGAAGTAGTTGTACAGTGAGCTTAATATGAAAGATCTTGGTGCAACAAAACATATTTTTGGGATGTGGATTAGCTGGACAAGCAAAATCAGTGCTTTGCAGTTGTCTCAGGCTAGACTACATTGAACATGTTTTATATAAGTTCAACATAACTAATGCTAAGGCACTTAACACACCCTTAAGTAGTCATTTTTTATTATTCAATTGTCAATGTCCCAAGATAGAGGAGGAAATAAACTTCATGGCTAAATTATCATCTGCCTCAGTCATTGGAAGTTTTAATTCATGTCATGTTGTGCATAACATCATATATTATCTATGCAGTTAGAGCGGTGAGCAGTAGGGATGGTAATTTTCCTCGACTCGGTGGGTTTCTGTCCCGCCCCAGTATCCCTAATGGGGCGGAATTGGTAATCTCCTAAATGGGTTTGGGGCAAGTATGATCAAATAATTGAAACCCTGAAGTGGGTTTGGGGCGGGGACGGATTTAATGATGACCCCACCCCGATTACATGTGTACCTTAAAATTTTTTATGTATGTATGTATTCAATATTTTTAAGACCCTTGTTATTTTGTGGGAAGTGTCAGTTAATATATTAATATTTATTACTTAGTAATTTAAAAGATTAGCCAGCTTATTTATCAACCCAATTTGAACACATTGGGCTAGTTAATTTTTTTTTTTTACTACATAATAAAAGTGGCATAACTCAACCACACCCCGCAATTAAATAGAGTACACGGGGCGAAGTCGGTATTTTGTCTACTCGAGTAGGGATGGGAATGGTATAACAATTACAAACCCGTCTCGAAGTAAGTGCGGAATTAATATGACATATTTTCTATCGAGGCGGAGTAAGGTTTAGCCAACCCCCCAAACTCCATCCCATTACCATCCCTAGTGAGCATGTTTAGGAAAAATCCTGAAAAACAACATTGGGAGGCGGTGAAGTCTATATTAGGGATTTTATGAGGTATTGCTAGCAAAAAAAAAAAAAAATTAATTAATTACTAACAAATGTTTATGTTTCAAATGGTGTGCAAGTTGAGATTAAAGGATTATGTAGATATAGACTTTGTTGGTGGGGTAGATCATAGGAAAAGCGCTATCAGTTATGTCTTTACAGTAAGTATTACTACAGTTAGTTAGGTTTCACAGTTTTTGAAAATAGTTGGATTATCTACAATAGAGGCAAGATACGTGGCTATAACTTATGCAAACAAGGAGAGATATGGTTGCAAGGTTTATTAGGAAAAGTTGGTTTCAGACAATTGAAGAATGTATTTCGGTCGAGGTCCAAGCATATAGAACTTTGTTATCACTTTGTCAGTTCACTTTTGGAAGATAGGGTGTTGACAGTTAAGAAGATTATTAACACTTAGAATTCAGCCGACATGTAAACCAAGAAGTGACTATAGAGAAACTAAAATTTTGCTCAGCTTTAATTAGACTTGTCAATGAATCGGATTTTGATCTGAATCTGATCTGATAACTTGGATAATCCGATAACTTATTAATGATCCGAATTTGATAATCTGTTAGCTAAACAAATCGAATATGGATTTTGTTCGATCCGGTCTGAAATAATATATTAAAATATATAATCTAATTTTATGATATATAATATTTTTTATAATATAAAAAATTCTTATCATTATTTTCTCAGCTGCTTTTTACTCTCTTTATTTTTTCTTATTCCCAAATTTTTATTCTTTAACCATGAGTAAAAGATCTAATTTTATTTTTTTATATTTTATTTTTATTCTCTTTTGTCATTAATTTTGTTTTACAAAATATATAGTAGGAGAGTGTGTCCCAAACTCAATTTCTTTCTACAATAACTTAGGTGTCTATTTATAGAGAGTCATTCCTTTCTAGACAATATTACCATTCCTAATGTTTGTTTACTATTACATATAATGTAAATTATGTAACATGATACTTCAATATCATGGTGATTATACTTTAATACCAAAATATTGTTTATCGTTATATTATAAATCTAAAAAAAATTAATAATTATTATTTGTCAGTATCTATTTTAATATGGAACACTTAACAATGGATGCGGATGTTATAATCTACTTTAATCATTTGCTTTGATTTGTCTGCATTACGTCACTATATGATTATGATTGTTTTGTACCTATTTGATATTTCAATATCCCTGGAGACTATTTGTCTTTATCCACTTCAATATTGTACATATATTTTTTTGATAGATTATACTCTTACTCACGTGGACAATATTATATTTCGATACGCACCTTTAATCATGCCTTAATTTCTACGATAAATTACCTACTAATTAGCGTGTAACTTACCAATGACATGGTCACATATTTATAAGTATGACATGGAGTCTCTAAAAT